AAGAGAGAATAAGCGATCTGGAAGACAGTATAATAGATAAAAAAGGAAAAGAGGAGGCCAGGGAAAAACAACTCAGAATCCATGAAAATAGAATCAGAGAAATAAGTGACACGATGAGGCGTTCCAATGTCAGAATAATTGGAATCCCGGAGGGAGTGGAGAGAGAGAGAGGGCTAGAAGATGTATTTGAGCAAATCGTAGCTGAGAACTTCCCTAATCTGGGGAATGAAACAAACATTCGAGTCCTAGAGGCAGAGAGGACCCCTCCTAAGATCAAGGAAAACAGGCCAACACCCTGGCATGTAATAGTAAAACTTGCAAATCTTAGAACCAAGGAAACTATCTTAAGGGCAGTTAGGGGGAAGAGATTCCTTACATACAGAGGGAGGAACATCAGAATAATGTCAGACCTATCCGCAGAGACCTGGCAAGCCAGAAAGGCCTGGCAAGACATATTCAGGGTACTAAATGAGAAGAACATGCAGCCAAGAATACTTTATCCGGCAAGGCTTTCATTTAGAATGGAGGGAGAGATGCAGAGCTTCTATGACTGGCAGAAGTTGAAAGAATATGTGACCACTAAGCCGGCCCTGCAAGAAATATTAAGGGGGGTTCTATAAAAGGAGAAAGACCCCAAGGGTGATCTACAACAGAAATTTACAGGGACAATCTATAAAAACAACGTCTTCACAGGCAACATGATGACAATTAATTCATATCTTTCAATAATCACTCTCAACGTGAATGGCCTAAACGCTCCCATAAAACGGCACAGGGTTGCAGATTGGATAAAAAGACAGGACCCATCCATATGCTGTCTACAAGAGACTCATTTTGAACCTAAAGATACATCGAGACTGAAAGTGAAGGGATGGAGATCTATCTTCCATGCCAGCGGACCTCAAAAGAAAGCTGGGGTAGCAATTCTTATATCAGACAAATTAGACTTTAAACTAAAGTCTGTAATAAGAGACACAGAAGGACACTATATCATTCTTAAAGGGTCTATCCAACAAGATCTCACAATTGTAAATATCTATGCCCCCAACATGGGAGCAGCCATCTACATAAGCCAACTGTTAACCAAAATAAAGAGTCATATTGATAACAATACGTTAATTGTAGGAGACCTCAATACTCCACTCTCGGCAATGGACAGATGCTCTAAGCAGAAAATCAACAAGGAAACAAGAGCTTTGAATGATACATTGGACCAGATGGACTTCATAGATATTTACAGAACATTCCACCCTAAAACAACAGAATACTCATTCTTCTCAAGCGCACATGGAACTTTCTCCAGAATAGACCATATACTGGGTCACAAATCAGGTCTCAACCGATACCAAAAGATTGAGATTATTCCCTGCATATTCTCAGACCACAATGCTCTAAAACTGGAACTCAATCACAAGAAAAAGTTTGGCAGAAATTCAAACACTTGGAAGCTAAAGACCACTCTGCTCAAGAATGTTAGGGTCAACCAAAAATCAAAGAAGAACTTAAACAATTCATGGAAATCAATGAGAACAACAACACATCGGTCCAAAACCTATGGGATACTGCAAAGGCGGTCCTAAGGGGGAAATACATAGCCATCCAAGCCTCACTCAAAAAAATAGAAAAATCCCGAATTCACCAACTAACTCTACACCTTAAAGAACTAGAGAAAAAGCAACAAACGACGCCTAAGCCACGCATTAGAAGAGAAATAATTAAAATTAGAGCAGAAATCAATGAATTAGAAACCAGAAACACAGTAGATCAGATCAATGAAACTAGAAGTTGGTTCTTTGGAAGAATTAATAAGATTGATAAACCACTGGCCAGACTTATCCAAAAGAAGAGAGAAAAGACCCAAATTAATAAAATTATGAATGAAAGGGGAGAGATCACGACTAACACCAAGGAAATAGAAACAATTATTAGAAATTATTATCAACAACTATATGCCAATAAACTGAGCAATCTGGATGAAATGGATGCCTTCCTGGGAACCTATAAGCTGCCAAGACTGAAAAAGGAAAAAAGAGAACCCAGAAGAAAGTGACAACCTGAATAAGCCAATAACCAGTAACGAGATTGAAGCAGTGATCAAAAACCTCCCAAAAAACAAGAGTCCGGGGCCTGATGGATTCCCTGGGGAAGTCTACCAAACATTCAAAGAAGAAATAATACCTATTCTACTGAAGCGGTTTCAAAAAATAGAACAGAAGGAAAACTTCCAAACTCATTCTATGAGGCCAGCATTACCTTAAGCCCCAAACCAGGCAAAGGCCCCATCAAAAAGGAGAATTTCAGACCAATATCCCTGATGAATATGGATTCCAAAATCCTCAACAAAATCCTAGCTAATAGGATCCAACAATACATTAAAAGGATCACCCACCATGACCAAGTGGGATTTATCCCCGGATGCAAGGGTGGTTCAACATTCGCAAATCAATCAATGTGATAGAACACATTAATAAAAGGAGGGAGAAGAACCATATGGTCCTCTCAATTGATGCAGAAAAAGCATTTGACAAAATACAACATCCTTTCCTGATTAAAACTCTCCAGAGTATAGGCATAGAGGGAACATTTCTCAAGCTCATAAAATCCACCTATGAAAAACCCACAGCGAATATCATCCTCAATGGGGAAAAGCTGAGAGCCTTTCCCTTAAGATCAGGAACTTTATGTGGAAAACTCAAAAGACTCCACCTCAGCAAATTACTAGAACTCATCCAGCAATTCAGTAATGTGGCAGGATACAAAATCAATGCACAGAAATCAGTTGCTTTCTTATACACTAACAACGCAACTGTAGAAAGAGAAATTACAGAAACGATTCCGTTTACAATAGCACCAAAAACCATAAGATACCTCAGAATAAACCTAACCAAAGAGGTAAAGGATCTATACTCTAGGAACTACAAAACACTCATGAAAGAAATTGAAGAAGACACAAAAAGATGGAAAAATATTCCATGCTCATGGATCAGAAGAATAAACATTGTTAAAATGTCTATGCTACCCAGAGCAGTCTATACCTTCAATGCCATCCTGATCAAAATTCCAATGACATTTTTCAAAGTGCTGGAACAAACAATCCTAAAATTTGTATGGAATCAGAAAAGACCCCAAATCGCCAAGGAGATGTTGAAAAAGAAAAACAAAGCTGGGGGCATCATGTTGCCCAATTTCAAGCTATATTACAAAGCTGTGATCACCAAGACAGCATGGTACTGGCACAAAAACAGACACATAGATCAATGGAACAGAATAGAGAACCCAGATATGGACCCTCAACTCTATGGTCAAATAGTCTTCGACAAAGCAGGAAAAAACATGCAATGGAAAAAAGACCGTCTCTTCAATAAATGGTGCTGGGAAAATTGGACAACCACATGCAGAAGAATGAAACTCGACCATTCTCTAACACCATTTACAAAGATAAATTCAAAGTGGACGAAAGACCTCAATGTGAGACAGGAATCCATCAAAAGCCTAGAAGAGAACATAGGCAGTAACCTCTTTGACATCGGCCACAGCAACTTCTTTCAAGATACATCTCAAAAGCTAGTGAAACAAAAGCAAAAATGAACTTTTGGGACTTCATCAAGATAAAAAGCTTCTGCACAGCAAAGGAAACAGTCAACAAAACAAAGAGGCAACCCACAGAATGGGAGAAGATATTTGCAAATGACACTATAGATAAAGGGCTGGTATCCAAGATCTATAAAGAACTTCTCAAACTCAACACCCAAAAAACAAATAATCAAGTCAAAAAGTGGGCAGAAGAGATGAACAGACACTTCTCTGAAGAAGACATACAAATGGCTAACAGACACATGAAAAAATGTTCATCATCATTAGCCATCAGGGAAATCCAAATCAAAACCACACTGAGATACCACCTTACACCAGTTAGAATGGCAAAAATGGACAGGGAAAGAAACAACAAATGTTGGAGAGGTTGTGGAGAAAGGGGAACCCTCTTACACTGTTGGTGGGAATGCAAGTTGGTACAGCCACTTTGGAGAACAGTGTGGAGGTTCCTCAAAAATTTAAAAATAGAGCTACCCTATGACCCAGCAATTGCACTACTGGGTATTTACCCCAAAGACACAGATGTGAAAAGAAGGGCCATATGCACCCCAATGTTCAGAGCAGCAATGTCCGCAATAGCCAAACTGTGGAAAGAGCCGAGATGCCCTTCAACAGATGAATGGATAAAGAAGTTGTGGTCCATATATACAATGGAATATGACTCAGCCATCAGAAAAGATGAATACCCAACTTTTACATCAACATGGATGGGACTGGAGGAGATTATGCTAAGTGAAGTAAGCCAAGCAGAGAAAGTCAATTATCATATGGTTCACTTATTTGTGGAACATAAGGAATAACATGGAGGACATTAGGAGAAGGAAGGGAAAAATGGGCGGGGGGAATTGGAGGGAGAGATGAACCATGAGAGACTATGGACCTGAGAAACAAACAGGGTTTTAGAGGGGAGGGGGGAGGGGGGATTGGTTAGTCCGGTGATGGGTATTAAGGAGGGCACGTACTGCATGGAGCACTGGGTGTTATACGAAAACAATGGATTATGGATCACTACATCAAAAAGTAATGATGTATTGTATGGTGACTAACATAACATAATAAAATTAAAAAAAAAAAAAAAAGCCCTGGTCCCACCCAAAGGGCGTTCACAGGCTGGTTGAAGTGCTCTAGGTACTAGAAAATACTAGAACTGAGTTTTTTAAAAATTATGTTTACGTCACTTATTACAACAGGTTTCCCTCCAGTTTGCCATTCCCCTATTTCTTATTTACCTAAATAATGAGCTTGTCTGGTGCCTACAGAAATTTAACATTTATTCATTCATCTAATAAGTTTTTATTGAGCACTTAATATATTCTAGGCAGAGGTGTAGGTGTTAGGTATAACAGTGAAGTAAATAGAAATCTCTGCCTTCCTGAAGTTTACATTATTTATTCTTTTTTCCACAGATAAGAGACTTGCTATCTAGAACAAAGAAACCTGGGGGACTAAAAGTAAGGGAAGACCAACAGCTGGGCTTTTATGTGGATGGCCTGAAGTCAGTGCCCTGTGAGAACTATGTACAGATTGAAAGGCTGATGGAACAAGGGACAAAAATAAGGACCACAGCATCGACCAACATGAATGCCAGCAGCAGCCGGTCTCATATGGGTTATCATCATTCAGTTCAAGCAGGTGAGACTCATGGGAAGGCTGCTGTCCCAGTTTCCCACTAAGTGTGATCCATGGGAAGGGTTCCCAGTGGCATGAGTTGGTAAGTACTATGGAATCCTTTCAGATTTGACCTATGGATTAAGGTGGTTACTTCCAACCATGGGCTATGGGGTCAGAAACAGAAGAAAGTGAGGCACTTTCTCTTTTCCTACTTCCCCATATCCCTGCTCCACACAGTCTCCCCAGGATGATGATGACCAGCTTTCAGATCCATGAGCCTAGAGAACCACCAGATACTGAACTACCTTTCCAATACTTGGAAGTAGCAAGATAAGGTCTTTGAAACTAGCTAATCCATGTAACTCTCCACCAACTAGAATTTTTGAAAAAACTGAGCACATTTTTCTCCTCCATACTTCTTGGTAGATATCAGAGAGTAAACTCTAGATCATCATCAGTTTGATTGTAAATAGTTATTTACAAAGCCTGGGTAAGCATTACAGTTAACTATGATTTCACCATCTCTGTTCCCTAAGCCACATCCCTAGTAATAGACAGAATGGTAAAAATGAAGATTACCTTGCTCTAACCAGGAATAGTGGGAAAACACTGGACTATATCTAACTCTCTGTTTACCAGCTTTGAAACTTTGGGAAATAACTTACTCGTCCTTAGTCTCAGTTTCCTATTCTGTAAAATGAGACAAATAGCTATCCTGCAGGAGTGCTGGGATGCTTAAAGAAGAACCTGCATTTTAAAGAACTTTGAAGGATGACTGGGAAGAAGGCAGAGAGGGCTCTGAGCTCACCTCCTTCCACAGAGACAACAACTATGCATAATCCAGCTCGCTCTGGAAACGACCTGAAGACTGGCAGAACAGCTCTTCCACAGCTAAAGACATAAAAAGAAACCCACAATGAGAAGGGTAGGAGGGGCAGAGGTCTAGATGGAAACCAGTGCCCAGGCACAGCGACCCTCAAGCAAGAAGTATAACACAGGCACCAAGGCATTTCTTGAGGAGCCAGGGTATCAAGCTTTACATCAGGCACCCCCTGCCCTGGAGAGCTGCATCAGAAAGACAAGCCTTATAACATTGGGCTTTGAAAATTAGTGGACTCAACTCTGGGAGAGGTGGAAGCCTCTAAGAAACTGAGAGTCCACTCCTAAAGGGTCAGCACACTACATCACGCACTGTGAGACCCAGCACAGAAACAGTAGTTTAAAAGTGCCTGGGTTATACATGAAGAAGATATAGTGACTAATTTTAGGGCATGTGCCAGAGGATCAGAGATATGTAGGAGCTCTTGTAGGAACAAGAGTGCTGGAAGGCGCTATTTTTCTTAACCTTCTTGTGCCTAGCTGGTCAGTCCTTGTGGGAGCCAGTTCTGACATTCTCCATCCACCTTCTTAACACTGTTTGCCCTGCCCGGTGTTTCCCTGTGGACATGCCTCACCCACCCACCCCTGAAGGCACCCCTCCAAAGAGATTCCTTCCCCAAGGAGGAGGGGAGCCAGCCTTGACCACCAGCACACCTGTAGCAGCTACAGTCGGGCCTCTCAGCAAGCTGTCTTGGGGGCCAGCTCTGTCCATCAGCACACCCACAGCAGGTGCAGCCAGTCACACAGCGGGTGCACACAGCCCACACAATAGATATCCCTGAAGCACCTGGTTCTGATGACCAGGGGGATTGTGCTGCTGGGCCCCCCATAGGATGCCTTCTACACAAGGCCACTACGGTCAGGACCAGGAGATATAGTTAACCTACATAGTACACAGAAAGAAAGGAAGGGTCAGACAAAATCAGGAGACCGGAAAATATGTTCCAAACAAAAGAACAAGACAAAACATCAGTAAAAGAACTAAACAAAATGGAAATAAGCAATCTGCCTGATAAAGAGTTCCAAGTGAGACAGGTGCTCCACAGACTAGAGAGATGAGTGGATGAGCTCAGCGAGAACTTCAACAAAAAGATAGAAATATAAAAAGAACCAATCATAGCTAAGTAATTTGCATTATCAGGGTCCCAGAAAGAGAGAGAGAGAGAAAGGGGCAGAAAATGTATTTCAAGAACTAATACCTGAAAACTTCCCTAACCTTGGTGGAAAAAACACAGACATCCAGGTCCAGGAATCACAGAGAGCCCCAAACAAGATGAACCCAAGGGACTCCACACTAAGACACATAATAATTAAAATATTGAAAATTAATAATAAAAGGAGAATCTAAAGGACAGCAATATTAGAAAAGCAAATTGCTATATACAAGGGAAACCCCATAAGGCTATCAGCTGATTTTTCAGCAGAAACTTGACCAGAAAGGAATGCCATGATATATTCAAAGAGCAGAAAGGAGAAAACCTATAATGAAGAATTCTCTACCCATTAAGGTTATGATTCAGAATTGAAGGAGAGATAAAGAGTTTCCAAGACAGGGGCGCCTGGGTGGCTCAGGTGGTTAAGCATCTGCCTTCACCTCAGGTCATGATCTCGAGGTCCTGGGATCAAGGCCTGTGTCAGACTCTCTGCTCAGCAGGGAGTCTTCTTCTCCCTCTCTCTCTGTGGCTCCCCCCACTTGTGCTCTCTCTCTCTCTCTCAAATAAATAAATAAAAAATCTTAAAAAAAAAAAAAAAAGTTTCCAGGACAAACAAAATTAAAGATCATTACCACTACATTAGCCCCTTACAAGAAATGTTAAAGCAACTTTAAGTGGAAAAGAAAAGGCTCTAACAAGAAGAAAATTGTGCAAGGAAAAAATGTCACTGGCAAAAGCAAACATATAGTAAAGGTGATAAATCAATCACTTCTAAAGCTAGTATGAAGGTTACAAAGCAAAGTAATAAAATTAATTATATATACAAAAATCAGTTAAGGGATACATAACAAAAAATGTAAAATATGACACCATATACATAAAACATGCTGGGGGAGGAAAAATGTAGAGCTTTTAGAATGTTTTTGAACTTCAGCAGTCATCAACTTAATATAGACCCTTATTTACATTGAAAGTTACATGTGAACCTCATGGTGACCACAAACCAAAAACTTATAAGATACACAAAAAATAAAGAGAAAGGAATCCAAGCATAACAGTAAAGAAAATCATCAAATCACAAAGGAAGACAACAAGAGAAGAACAGAACAGAGAACCAGAAAAACATCCAGAACACAATTAACAAAATAGCAAGTATATACCTATCAGTAATTACTTTAAATGTATGGACTAAATGTTCCAATCAAAAGACATAGGGTGGGAGGGTGTGTGCTCTGGTAAGCGCTGTGAATTGTGCAGGACTGTTGAATCTCAGATCTGTACCTCTGAAACAAATAATGCAATATATGTTAAAAAAAAAAAAAGAAGAAGAAGAAGAAGGTAGCGGGAGGGGAAGAATGAAGCGGGGGAAATCGGAGGGGGAGACGAACCATGAGAGACGATAGACTCTGAAAAACAAACTGAGGGTTCTAGAGGGGAGGGGGGTGGGAGGATGGGTTAGCCTGGTGGTGGGTATTGAGGAGGGCACATTCTGCATGGAGCACTGGGTGTTGTGCACAAACAATGAATCATGGAACACTTCATCTAAAACTAATGATGTAATGTATGGGGATTAACATAAGAATAAAAAAAAAAAGACATAGGGTGACTGAATGGATTAAAAAAAAAAAAAAAAACCCACAAGACCCACATATATGCTGCCTACAGGGATTCACTTCAGACATAAAGACACATACAGACTGAAAGGGAAAAGATATTCCATGCAATTGGAAGCAAAAAAAATGCTAGGGTGGACAAACTGACTTTAAAACAAAGACTGTGGGGTGCCAGGGTGGCTCAGTTGGTTACGTATCTGCCTTTGGCTCAGGTCATGATCTCGGGGTCCTGGGATTGACATCTGCATCAGGCTCCCTGCTCAGCAGGGAGTCTGCTGCTCCCTCTCCCCCACAACCACCTACGTGCTCTCTCTGTCTCTCTCAAATAAATAAATAAAATCTTAAAAAAATAAAACAAAGACTGTAACAAGAGACAAAGAAGAGCATTACATAATGATAAAGGGATCAATCTAACAAGAGGATATAACAACTGTAAATCTCTATGCACCCAATATAGGAGCGCCTAAATATATAAAGCCAATACTAAGAGACATAAAGGGAAAAGTGACAGTAATATAATAATAGAAGGGGACTCTAACACCCCACTCATGTCAGTGGACAGATCATCCAGACAGAAAATCAACAGGGAAATGGTGGCTTTGAATGACATGTGCGAACAGATGGACTTAACAGCTACATTCAGAACATTTCATCCTAAAGCAGCAGAATACACATTTTTCTCAAGTGTACATGGAACATTCTCCAGGATAGATTTCAGGTTAGGCCACCAAACAAACCTCAATAAACATAAGGAGTGTGAAATCATATCAAGCATCTTTTCTGACCACAATGGTATGAAACTAGAAATCAATTACAAGAATAAAACTGGAAAAAAACACAAACAAGTGGATGCTAAACAACAAGCTACTAACCAACCAATGGGCCAACAAAGACGTCAGAGAGGAAATAAAATAATACATGGAGACTGGGGCGCCTGAGCGGCTCAGTCAGTGAAGAATTTGACTCTTGGTTTCAGCTAAGGTCATGATCTCAGGGTCATGAGATCGAGCCCCATGTCGGGCTCTGTGCTCAGCAGGGAGCTTGCATGAGATTCTCTCTCTTCCTCTCCCTCCTTCCTCTCCCCACTTGCACTCTCTTTCTCCTTCCCTCTCTCTCTTAAATAAACAAATAAATACCTTAAAAAATTCATGGAGACAAATGAAAATGGAAACATAATGGTTCAAAATCTTTGGGATGCAGGGGCACCTGGGTGGCTCAGTTGGTTAAGCATCTTACTCTTGTTTTTGGCCCACGTCATGATCTCAGGGCCCTGAGATCAAGCCCCGCATCAGGCTCTGCACTCACCTGGAAGTCTGCTTGTCCTTCTCTCTCTGCTCCTCCCCTGCTCGTGTGCTCTCTCTCTCTCTCTCTCTCTCTCTCTCTCTCTCAGATAAATAAAATCTTTTAAAAAAATCTTTGGGATGGAGCAAAAGCTCTTCTAAGAGGGAAGTTTATAGTGACACAAGCCTACCTCAAGAAACAAGAAAAATATTAAATAAACAACTTAACCTTATACCTAAAGGAACTAAAAAAAGAACAAAAGCCAAACTTAGTAGAAGGAAGGAAATAATAAAGATCAAAGTCAAAATAAATGAAATAGAGCCTAAAAAAAAAGAAAATATCTATGAAATTAAGAGCTGATTCTTTGAAAAGATAAAAAAATTGATAAGCCTTTAGCCAGACTCATCAAGAAAGAAAGAGAGAATACCCATATACATAAAATCAGAAATTAAAGAGAAGTTCAAGAGACATCACAGAAATACAAAGGATCAGGGCACCTGGGTGGCTCAGTCGGTTAAGCATCTGCCTTCGGCCCAGGTCATGTTCCCAGGGTCTTGGGATCAAGTCCCGCTTTGGGCTCCCTGCTCAGCAGGGAGTCTGCTTCTTTCTCTACCCTTCCCCCTTCTCGTGCTCTCTTTCTCACTCTCTCTCAAATGAATAAAAAAACTTTAAAAAAAAGAAATACAAAGGATTATAAGAGACAACTACAAAAGATTATGCACCAACAAATTGGACAACCTAGAATAAATTGATAAATTCCTAGAAACATATAATCTTCCAAGTCTGAATCAGGAAGAAATAGAAAATCTGAACAGACCAATTACTAGTAACAAAAGTGAATTGGGAATCAAAGAACTCCCAACAAACAAAAGTACAGGACCAGATGACTTCCCAGATGAATTCTACCAAACATTTTATTTTTTAAAAAAAGATTTATTTATTTTAGAGAGAGAGAGTGTGTGCATGAGAGCAAGCATGATTTGGGGGAGGGGCAGAGGGAGAGGGAGAGAATTTCAAGCAGACTCTCCTCCGAGCACAGAACCCAACTCAGGGCTTGATCTCACAACCCTGAGTCATGACCTGAGCCGAAATCAAGAGTCAGACACTCAACCAACTGAGCCACCCAGGTATCCCTCAACAAACATTTAAAGCAGTGTTAATTCCTTTTCAAACTATTCCAAAAATTAGGAGAGGAAAGAAAGCTTCCAAATTCACACTATGAGGCCAGCATTACCCTGATGCAAACAATAAATAAATAAATAATTGCAGATCAATATCCCTGATGAATATAGATGCAAATGTCTTCAACAAACTAAATTCAGCAATACATTAAAAGTATCATTCCCCATAAATCAAGTGGGATTTATTGCAGAGATGCAAGGATCGTTCAATATTTGCAAATCAATGTGATATACCACATTAACAAAATGAAGGCTAAAAATCACATGATTATTTTAATAGATGCAGAAAAAAGCATTTGACAAAACTTAACATATGTTCACAATGAAAAGTCTCAACAAAGTGGATTTAAGGAGAACAACTCAATGTACATAATAAAGTCCTTATGTGCCAAACCCACAGCTAGCATCATACTCAATGGTGAAAAACTAAAGGCTTTTCCTTTAAGATCAGGAACAAGGCAAGGATGTCCACTCTTGCCACTTTTATTCAACAGAGTACTGGAAGTCCTAGCCAAAGGAATCAGATAATCAGATGTGAAAAAGAATAAAAGGCATCCAAATAAGCATAAAAGAATTAAAATTTTCATTATTTGTAGGTAAGATGATACTATACATAGAATAAAGACTACAAAAAACTATTAGAATTAATAAATGAAATCAATAAAGTTTCAGGATAAAAAATTAATACACAAAAATCTATAGACTTTTATTTCTATACATTGATAATGAACTAGCAGGAAAAGAAATTAAGAAAACAATTCCATTTACAATTCTATCAGAAAGAATAAAATACCCAGCAATAAATTTAACCAAGGAAGTAAAAGAAATGTCTTCTGACAACTATAAGACATTGATAAGAGAAACTGAAGAAGACACAAATAAATGGAAGGACATTCCATGCTCATGGATTGGAAGAACAAATACTGTTAAAATGTCTATACTATCCAAAGCGAGCTACAGATTCAATGCAATCCCCATCAAAATACCAATACTATTTTTTATAGAACTAATAATCCTAAAATTTATATGGAACCACAGAAGACTCCAAATAGCCAAAGCAATCTTGAGAAAGAGGAATAAAGCTGGAGGAATTACAATCCCAAATTTCAAACTATACTACAAAGCTACAGTAATGAAGAGTATGGAACTGGCACAAAAACAGACACATAGATCAATGGAACAGAATAGAGGGCCCAGAAATAAACCCACACTTTTATGGTCAGTTAATCTATAAAAAAAGAAGGCAAGAATATACAGTGGGAGAAAAGACAATCTCTTCAATATATAGTGTTGGGAAAATTGGCCAGCTATGTGCAAAATAACAAAACTGAACCACTTTCTAACACCATACACAACAATAAATTCAAAATGATTAAAGACCAAAAGTGATAACTGAATCTATATAAAGAAAAAAGAAAACATAGGCATTAAATGCTCAGATAGTCTTAGCAATATTTTTTTGGCTATATCTCCTTAGACAAGGGAAACAAAAGCAAAAATAAACAGTTGGAACTACATCAAAATAAAAAGGTTTTGTACAGCAAAGGAACCCATCAACAAAAATGGAAAGGCAACCTACAGAACGGGAGAAGGTATTTGCAAACGACATATCCAATAAGGGGTTAGTATTCAAAATACATAAAGAATTTATACAAATCAACATCAAAATCAAAACAAGGAACAGTCTGATTTAAAAATTGGACAGAGGCTCTGAATAGACATTGTTCCAAAGACTGATACACACACATGAAAAGATGCTCAACATCAAAAAAAAAAAAAAAAAAAAAAAAAGATGCTCAACATCACTTATCACCAGGGAAATGCAAATCAAAACCACAATGAAATATCATCTCCCACCTGTCAGAATGGCTTAAATCAAAAACACAAGAAATAACAAGTGTTGGCGAGAATGTGGAGAAAGGGGAACCCTCGTGCACTGTTGGTGGGAATGCAAACTGGTGCAGCCACTGTGGAAAACGGTACGGAGGTTCTTCAAAAAATTAAAAATAGAAATACCATGACAATCCAGTAATTCCACTGCTGAATACTTACCCAAAGAAAATGACAACACTATGTGAAAAATATATATGCACCTCTGTATTTATTGCAGCACCATTTACCATAGCCAAGATATAGAAATAACCTAAGTGCCCACTGATACCATATGGTATATATACTCAATGGAATATTACTTAGCTTTAAAAAAGAATGAAATCTTGCCTTTCAGGACAACATAGATGGACCTAGAGGGTATTAGGCTAAGTGAAATAAGTCAGAAAAAGAAAAATACCATATGACTTCACTTGTATGTGGAATCTTAAAACACAAGGCAAATGAACAAACAGATACAAATAGAAAGAGACTCATAAATACAGAAAGCTGGTGGTTGCCAGTGGGAGAGTTTAGAGGAGTGGGTGAAATAGGTGAAGGGGATTAAGATGTATCTACTTCTAGTTAAAAAATAAGTCACAGGGATGAAAAGTACAGCATAGAGAATACAGTCAGTAATATTGTAATGACATTGTATGGAGACATTTGTTAACTCCACTCATCACGGTGAGCATTTTGTAACATATGTAATTGTCAAATCACTATGTTGTACACCTGAAACTAATGTAATGTTGCATGTCAACTGTACTTCGATTAAAAGTAAAAAAAAATAGGAGCCCCTGGGTGGCTCAGTTGGTTAAGCGTCTGACTCCTGGTTTCGGCTCAGGTCATGATCTCAGGGTCATGAGATCGAGCCACAGGTGGGGCTCCACACTCAGTGGGGAGTCTGCTTGAGATTCTCTCTCTCTCTGCTCCTCCCACCCCGCTCATGCGTGCATGTGCACACTCTCTCAAATAAATACATCTTTTTTTTTTAAAGTAAAAGAATAAAGTAAAAGAACTTTATAAACTTTAAGTACTATTCAGATTATTTTACATTAGTAACATTCATAAATTTTATATATGGTTTGCCCTTTTTTAGCTTGATGTTTTAGAGGCAAGGGAAGAAATCCACTGAAAAAATATGTGTAGAGATCTAGCATTACACTCTGCGTATTAGTGTCAGTAATGGTATTAACACCTGTTACTGTATGCTGGGCATGGTGAGAACCATTACTTCTCTTATCTGTTACCCTCCTAACACCCCAATAATATGCTGTGATCCCTGTTTTCCAACTAAGTTGCAATTCTGAAAAGCTAGTTCTCAGTCATGTAACCAGCAAGGGGATCTGTCACATTCTAAAATCTACGTTCTTTTCCCCTCCCTGCATGACCACACTGTTCCAAACATTTCCTTATTTTACAGATTTCCCAGTATTTTCTACTTAAAACATTTGATCACAGAAATACTAGAGCAGTAATTGGTACCTAATATACCACTGGAAATAGCTTTGCAAAATTGAGAAGGAGCAACTGAGACATTTGGGCCTGATGATGTATTAATGTGAAATGTCATTGTAAAGAAGATGGCCATTTTTTTTTGAGAGAGAGAGAGAGAGGAGAGGAGAGTAAGCAGGGGTGGAGGGTCAGAGGTAGAAAAAGAGAATCTTAAGCAGGCTCCTTCACCAGCAGGTAGTCTGACATAGGGCTGGATCTCACAACCCTGAGATCATGACCTGAGCCGAAAGCAAGAATCGGGTGCTTAACCGACTGAGCCATCCAGGTGGCCCGAAGGTAGCCTTTTAATTTGTAAATTTTAATATATAATTTTGAGTGTGATGTACAGTTAGAAAAAATGTTTTAAAGTGTGAACTAGATTGACTTCATATGTAGCCTGCTACCACTCTAATAGCATGACTTGTGGCGATTTCCTATAGGTTTTCCCAGACAGCGACCTCACCAAGCACTCCAGTATTAATTTGGTGGATTTAGCAGGAAGTGAAAGGCAGAAATCTTCAGGATCTGAAGGAGACAGACTGAAGGAAGGATCACGAGTTAAGTTTAACCAATTTAGGAAATGTTATCAGGTAAATAATCGGTGCATGGGTATTTATTTCTGCCGTAAAAATGACCTCAGAAATTTTTTAAAAATCAGATTAATCTTAGCCCTTGGTTCATGACCCACTCATGAATTCATTGGCTCATACCTGGTCCTCCTATATATTTTATTTTAAACTTACTGCTTTTTAATAAAACTAAAAACACCAGTAAATTCACCACCCAACCCAAGAAATAGTTGGTATTTCTGTGCTATGCTCCCCTTGGAGGTAGCCACCATCTTGAATTTTGCTTATCCCCTCTCTGTCCCTTGCTCCCTTTCTTTTTTCACCCTTTCTTGTTTTATCACTTGTGAATATTATTAGTTAGTGGCACTCATTTTTGAAATGTACAAAAAGGGTAAAATATTATACTATCTTTAGGATCTTGTTCTTTTTTAAGTGATCAAAGTATAAATTATATAAAGTATACAAATCTTAAATGTTCAGCTTGGTGAATTTTTATATGTATATATCTATGTAATTACCACCCAGCTCAAGATATAGAACATTTCCAAAACCCAGAAAGCTCCCTTGTACCCTCCTCCTAGCTTTTATACCCACCAAAAGAAGTTGACCTTTGCCACTAGAAATTGGTTTTGCCTAACTATATTGATTTTCATCTAAATAACTGTGTCTATGAGACTAAGCCATGTTTCTCATGTATCAGCTCTTTTTCATTGCTATGTAGGATTCCATTGTAGAAAATATACCACAGTTCATTTATCCATTCTCCTACTGATGGACATTTCGTTTGTATCCAGGTTTTGACTATGAATAATGTTGCTATGTTGCTATGAACATTCTTGTGCATATGCTTTGGGGAAAACAATTTCTCATTCCCCTCAAGGATACACCCAGGAGTAGAATTGTTGGGATTGGCCTTTTAATCCAACATTATTAACAATATGTATCCATGTTATGTGTGGCTTTGGTTAATTTGCCCTCTCTTCTGTCACTAAACATTGTGTTTATGAGATCCCCTGTTGTAGTAGAAGTTGTTACTTCTTTTTCATTATGATGTAGTGGGGAATTCCACTGTGGGCATATGCCACAATTTATTCATTTGTTCTCCTGTTGGATTGGCATTTTGGTTGTTTCCAGGTTTTGGTTATTTGCTATTATAAACAGTGCTATTATGAACATTCTTGTACAAATCACTGGGTATCACTATATTAAAGTTTCTCTTGAGTATAGACAAAGGACCGAAATTGTTGAATTATTTGTAAGGTGTATGCAATACCTATTTTTTTTTTTTTTTTTGGCAATACCTAACTTTTGACAGTAGGGACAAATTATTTTCCAAGTGTTTGAGCCAATTTATACTCTCAGCAGCAATAAATATCCCATTGATCCACATCTTTTCTAAGGCTTAATATTGTCACATTTCTTGATATTTACTAATTAAATGGTCTTGCCATGGTCTTGATATTCCTGGTTACTAGAAATTTTGAGCATCTTACCATGGTCTTGATATTCCTGGTTATTAGCAAGTTTGAGCATCATTTGATACATTTACTGGCAATATGTCTCCTCTCAAAATAACTGTTATGTTTTGCCTCTTAGTCTATTCAGTTACTGTCTTTTTATTGACTTTTAGGTGTTCTTTATATTTTTTGTATTACTCTTTCCTCAGGTATATAATAAATATCTTCTCCCAGCAGGTAGCTTGTCTTTTCACTTTAAGGTATCTATTGATGAGCAGAAATCATGGTAATGGTTTTGTTTTGCATATCTTGTGTCTTGTTTAAGGAAAGTAGAGTCCAAAAGTTATCTCCCTACATTTCACTTAATTTCCTATCCATCTGGAGTTGACGTCTGTGCGTAGTGTAGGGTAGGCATCCTTTTCATTATTTTTTCCTTATAGATTACCAATTTTTCCAGTTACACTTGTTGAATAGTCTCTCCTTTCCACAGTGGATTTTCTGCATACCTCTGTCATAGACCAAAATTCAATATATTTGACTTTCTAATCTGTTCAACTGGTCAAAGTCTAAATATTAATAAATGCTTCATCCTCTTCCTGAATAATACAAGGATCTCCATCCTACATTTGTAATTGTTGATATGTATGTTAATTCTATTCTTCTTTAACCCCAAATACATTATTATTTCTATTTTACACAGTGTTCATTTTTTTTAAAGATTTTATTTATTTATTTGACAGAGAGGGAACACAAGCAGGGGGAGTGGGAGGAGCAGGCCTCCCGTAGAGCAGGGAGCCCTATGTGGGGCTTGATCCCAGGACCCTGGGATCATGACCTGAGCAGAAGGCAGATGCTTAACGACTGAGCCACCCAGGTGCCCCCACAGTGTTCATTTTTTTAAATTATTCACTCCTTCTTGAACCTCAGAGCTGCTAAGATCAGTTTCCTCCTGGTGGAAATATATTCTATAGAATTTCCTTCAGTGATCACTTGCTGATGGCAAATTCTGCTTTTGTTCGGTTGAAATGTATTTCACCTCATTCTTGAAAGGTAATTTTGCTGGGTATATAATTCCAGATGTGTAGAATTTTCTTTCAACTCATTATGGTTACAGTCTCCTGTTTCCTGCTGGTGGTCTAATTGCTATTTCCTTGAGGATAATCTATCTTTCCCCCTCGCTGCTTTTAAACTCTTTTGTTTTGATTTTTTCCAATTTCATTGTGTTGCATTTGAGTGTGAATTTATTTATTCTGCTTGGAATTCCCTGGCCCCCAAAGCTCTGTAGATTAGTGATTTTCATCAGGACTGGAAAGTTCTCAGCCATTACTTCTCATGTACTGTCTGTGCCCATTTATTTTCTCTCTTCTCTTCTGGAACTTCAATTAAACCATTTAAATATTCTCACACTGTCCTCCATGATTCTTAACCTTCCTCGCTTGTTTCCCATCTCGTGTCTCCAGGCTGCAATCTGGTTAATCTCTTTTGAACTATCTAGTTCACTAATTCCAATTATAGCAGTGTCTAACTTGCTGTTAAACCTGTCCATTGTATTTTTCATTTCAATTACTGTATTTCTTTCTTTCTAGAAGATCATTTTGTCTCTTTTCCAAACCTGCTAGATTAACTCTATAAATTCCTTATCATTGTTTGTGATTATAATTTCCCATCGATGGGATTGCCTCCCTCCTCCTCCCTGCTCCAGTCAGTGACAACACCACTGTGTTTGCGGTCCCCTGGAGTTGGGTGGGGATTGGCCCATTTGCTTATTCACACTTTCTCTGGTGCCTTGTTATACGGGGTCCTAACTTTATGGGCTCTTCTGAAGGCAGTAGGAGAGAAAAGCAAGAAGAGGACTTAAACCTACTCCCCATTCTCCCCTACTCCACCGCTAGCTGGCTGCCCTCTTCCTCAGATTGAACTCTTCTTTATACACAGATTTACAATAGCCTGCAGGCTCCCCGGGTTTTCCTCACATGATTAAGCATGTTTGTTCCTCAGATCTAAACTTCCCTCTGTCTGTCATGGTCTCTCCAGGGTTGAGGGCAGGGAAGGAGCCTGTGGCTCATGCGGGTAGCCGTCTTGCTGCAGCATCCTCGTACAGAAGGTGTCTCAACTAATTGATATTAGTTAGAGTCATGCCTCAGGTTTATGGGGTCAACGAGGGGATGGGTGGGGTGTTTCTGACTTATTCCCAGGGAGGCAGATTTCTTCTTGACATATTTTTTTATCTGTTGTTTTGTATTTTCTTTTTCATTCAGTGCTCTGGCTGATGCAGCCATGGGGAAGAGAGTCTTGCATGTTCCCTATAGAGATTCTGTTCTGACTAAACTGCTCCAGCCAGCTCTGGGCGGGAACAGCAGAATGACTTTGGTAAAGTGACTCTCTTACAGCATGTGACACCAATTTAACTGTTGCTGTTGTTGTCGCTGTTACTGTTACAATTATGCTTAGTGTGCTATGGTGTCACACTTTGCATTTACATAGCGCATTCTTACCTAGCTTGTGACTCCTGGAACTCTTTCTATTACGATGTTCAAATATTATTCATTTTCATTTTTTATTTCTTTTCTGTAGTGTTCAGGCTCTCTACAAGGAACATACTATTATTATCAGGAAAAAACATCAGATTTTTCAAATCACACTGATAAGGTCATACTATTCTAAATCAGGGGTTCAGGGCAAGACTGGAAATCAGTTTGACCATGTGTGAGACACAAGGCAGGTGTTTAACCTGGAGAGGAGCTGAACTGTGTCACCTTAGCAAAGACTCCAGACTCTTACTACTGAAGGTTTGCCAAGTGGGTACAATGTAGAATGTGTTAAAATCAGGATTCTCTGCTCTTTGGCTTCAGGTGTGGGAAGGAACAAAGCCGGGCAAACTCTGCCTGCCTCCTGCTTGCTGTGGATTGGGAGAGAAATGCTCACTGCCTGGCCTGTTCTGTGCATGCTCTCCCAAATTCACAGAAGACATCCTTGTTCTCTATCGCCGAATCTTGCCTACGCATTTAAAAATATTTCAAAGTTCTTTTGGTTGTCTGTTTGCCCGTGGGCCACAGTGGGCACATCCCCCAAGAACCTGGACTAAAAAAAGGGGCCCATAAGATGCTCAGAATGTTAGACTACAAAGTCAAGTGTAACAGGTCTGCAGGGCAAGGCCCTGACTTGGGCGCTACGACGCTTTAACAGAGAAAGATGTGGTTTGGGAGGAGGTTGGGCGTCACTTCAAAGAGTATCTGCAAAGCCAACATCCAAGCGCCAGATCCTCTGTGGCTCCAACCCTATTTCCGGCACAGTTATCTTAACACCTCCTTTGTTTTATTTCTAAAGTGGATATGCTAACAGTATTCCCTTGGAAGTGTTGCTGTGTGTGTTGTGAATTTGTGTCGTGTGTTTGTGTTGTGTATCTGAGGTGTCTGTGAGCTGCGTGCGTCATGTGTGTGGGGGGGGTATATGTGGGGTCAGCATATGCTATAAATGTGTGTCACATGCGTTTTCCGACTTGTAAAGCTTGAACAATACTGTAAATTACAAGATATTCTATGAACATTAGCTGTACAATATCTACAACAAAAAAACCCTCTAAAATCGCACAAGCTGAAAGGGCTATTTTTTTACAGATAGCAGCCATAAGCCCCGCTGACATCTGCTATGAAGAAACTTTGTCCACATTAAGATACGCTGAGAGGTACAGGTATGAATATTTACTATCCCTAGTAGCTCTCGGTTCTAAATCTGCCAGATTCTTCTGGTATCCTCTACCCGATGGGTTGGCAGTTGGGAAAGAGGTGCGGGAGGAGACAAGACAGAATGCTTCCTGGGAACTGGGGCCCTCCTGAACCTGTCACTCGGTCGCTCCAGCTCTGCATGGGAGAGACACCGGGGGCGCAAACTGATGGGGAAGGGCTTGCCAATCCCCCGATGTGATTGGCATTGTCCTCCCTGTATTTTCCTGCCAAATAGCATGGCCATTCATACATTTCTTCCCTTGTCACATGGCCCACGGGGAGCGCGGAGTGGCAGGCAGAGGACTTTTATGCTAATAATGTGGGAGGCAACTCCCCAGGCTGGCACCCACTTTCTCGCTCCACAGCTTTCCCCCCACGCTCATTCTCATTTCTCCAGGCCCCACACATACAGATTATACTCTCGGAGTAGGCCTGGCGGTCATCGGCATCTCCTCCTGGGGAGGGTTCATCATCGCCAGTTTCCTTCTGTCCAATGGGGCTGGGAAGCAAGTCTACACACTTAGCCTGGGGAGGAGGCTGCAGCCCAGACAGGTTCCTGATTTTCAAGGCAGGTATCTGGATCCTGCTTCTCCGGACCCTTTTAAGAAAGTTGAGGGTACGGGGCGAGGGATACTCTAAGGAGGGTAGAAGCCACAGGCTGCCACCCCTCCTCCTTTCCTTTATGTGGCGGACATTGAGAATCTACCACCGAGACCCACCTATCGGGTTCAGATGGGACCTTGGGATTCTGGGCCTCCCCAGCCCTCAGCTGCATCCCATATGGAGGGAGGTGATTTCTCATCAGAGTTGGGGTGAAGAACACAGGCGATCAGTGCCAGACACATGGCAGATGCTCCAAACCATAGTTGTTACTGTGCCACCAAGTAGTGGCCACTCGTCGGGGGCTTCCCTGTGGCCTGGGCTCAGGGAGGGAGCCTTGCATTTCAGGGGCACAGACTAGTGTCCTCCTGCCTCGTGCAGCCTCAAGACCGTGTTACATCATTAGACATTTCTTCCAGCATCTGCACCACAAGCTCAGATCTTTGGGTCAGTTTTGTCTCTCTGCTTACCAGGTGCAAATCTGCTGCCAGCAGATTTCACGTGAGAGACTATGTGATGCAGAGGAAGGAGAAAACAGTAGCCAAAAGTCCCGGGCTCTGAGCCCGGATGTGCCACGGGCTGTGTGACTTAGGGGCCAAGCCTTGGAGATCCTCTCCTCCTCAGTGAAAGGAGTAAGGTGGCCAGAGTTAGTAAATAAAAACACAGGATCCCCAGTTAAGCTCAAATTTCAGATGCAGAGCAAGTCAGTTTGTTAGTGTAAGTATGTCCCATGCAATACACTAGAGGCAGTGAAAAAGTTAACCCCCAGGACCCCCACCAGCCTGGGGCACATGCAGAGCAGTGTGGACAGCTTCCAGGGTTGAGTTAGGACAGTTGCAGCCGCCCTGACTGTAGACTCTTCCACTAGTGGAGTCAGCCCAGTCGGCCAAGTGCATTCAGGACCCAGGACGTGTCAGGGCCGGGCTGTGGGCCCAGCTGAGCTGCTCATGTTTATTTGAGCGGGTGGACATCACTCAAGTTCCTTCTGGCCTTAACGATTCACTGGAACCCAACACAGTGGAACCAGCTGGGCTGAAAGGCTCCTGTTCCGCCAGTTGCCGGCCAGTGCTCTGCAAAGGGGCCCAGGGCCTGAGTGTGTGTTCATGTTTGCACATGGAAGGGCTAAAAAGATCCAGAACAAAGCCGTGGTCAACACCTCGACGCTGATGAGAGAGTCAAAGGCAGAGAACAACAAAGTACTGCTCACACGTGGAAATTCCAGGATGGCAGGTAAACTGAGTCTGGAGTCAGTGCCCGGTCCAGGTCAGGCTGGGAGCAGGATGGAGGGAGGGACCGGCTGCAGCCTCAGCATGAGGCTTGGGGGGTTGGCGAACACCTGCCTGGAATCGCTGGAGCCCTAGCCCAGGCCAGGGCAGCCTCTAGGAATATTTTGGCCCTGGCCTCGGGGAAGCACACTTTATTTTGAGGTAAACGCAGAGTTGCATGCAGTTGTAAGAAATAACGGCCCTGCCCTTCCTGGAGAGTCATTTTCAGTCTCATTTTTATTGCCATTTTTATTCCGAAGTCATGGTTTCTACCGAGACTACACTTTCCTTCCCAGAATTGCATGGCGGCCATCTGTCATTTATTCTACTAATGGTCTCATGCAGTTAAATGATGTTCGACTTTCCAGAACCCTTAGTGGCAGCACCCCAACCTCACCATTAATCCCTGGGGGGGGCAGCAGAAGAGCTCACGATGCCCCAGCTGGTTATTAGTTATTCTTCTCCACCCCCTTGACATTGCACACCCGTTGCTGAAAATGCCTCCCCCTTCCAGAGCGGCCAGCCTACCCGCTGGCAGAACCAGGGCCCGGGGCCACAGACTGGTCAGCCGACCTGGGTGCACCAGCTGGAGCAGGCTCGGGAGGAGTGGCATCAGCAGTATCTGGCCATCACCCAGGTGAGCCTCACTGCCTCCACCTGCAGAGGCCAGGCCCCACGGGAAGCTGCGGCCAGGTGGATTATGGGAGTAGCTTCTGTTTTCAGTGAACATGTAGTATGGGAGATGTGACAATGATTTACATTAATGCTATCGGCAGGGACAAGAGGGAAGGAAGCCAAGAAGCTTGATGAGTGAGGTTGAGGGTAGATTCGAGGCTGTTGATAATTACCGTTCAGGGAGAATTTGAGGACTACGACTGTGGGGACATATTGTGCCTACCCTGTCATTCACAGGCAGTATCAGATCCTAAATGGGCTGCGATGTGAATTTCGTATGTGGGTCAGGGAGATGCCCTCTTGGTCCCCCATCCACAGCACACTCCCGCCATGACCTGGCCCCCCAAAGCCACAGGTTCTGCATGAACCCCAAGTCAGGGGCCAGATGTGGAGCACTTTGGGAGTGGTGGCAGAGGTCCAGCCAGGCTTCTGAAAGGCTCGTGAGGCCTGGAAGAGGGGTGAGCCTCAGGCCAGGGGAGCCTAGTGCAGGCAGGGTCTGCAGCACCAGGAGGCCAGGCTGAGTTAGGGCCCAAGGATTCTAGAGGTGTGGACAGTAACAACGGCAAAGCTTCTTACCCTCTTTACTCTTTATCAGAATTCCAAGATTTAAAAGCTTTCCTTGTGCCTGCACCATATAGTCTGGTTCTCATTGACTATTGATCCTCTAGAAGTCCAAGACCAATCTGTACTATACTCAGGGATGAAACATGTTCAGGTGACCAAGAGAGAGTCCTACAGCACGTCCCATTTTGTCATCAATGTCTGATGACCAGTGAGCTCACCAGCAGGACGGGGGAGCATGAGATGTAGGGGAGAAGGCTTAGTGGAGGCCCAGGGAAGGATGAGCCAGGTGAGGCACTAGCCTGGGGCATCGGGACGGCGGGGGACTCGGGGGGGAAGTAGAAGTCAGCATGGAAGGGGTCGATGCAGGGCAGCCAGGAAGGGGGAACAGAGTTGGAGACGGGCTACACTTTGCAACACTCCTGTCCAGATAAACTCAGGCCCCCGATGGCCGACCTGCCAAAGGGGCTCACCCCTGCTCAGTTGAGCCCCCAGCCCCACTCAGTCTTCCTCGTCCGGGTTCGCTTTACTGGGCGATTTGACAGGATGTATAGACAAATGGCTTTGGTGCGAAGTGGATAGGACAGGAATGCTGCTCTCCCCTGAGCATGCAGGTCCTAGGACCTCTCCATGTCTCCTCCAGGAGCGGCAGATGACCGAGACCTTCCCTCACCTTCTCAACGTCAACAAGGACCCACAGCTCACGGGTGTTCTCAAGTACTTCATTCAGGCTGGTACTCACCCCTCTTGATTCACTCTGCACCTGCCCCTGCTTCTTGCTTCACAAGCATGTTTCTGGTTCTTTTGAATCTCTGTTTTTGCGGTAAATATATGTAACATAGAGTTCACCATGCTGACTATTTTTAAGTATACAATTCAGGGACATTAGTGTGTTCACAATGCTATGCAACCATCACCCCGATCCATCTCCAGAACCTTCCTTCTTCCCAAACTGAAACTCTGTCCCGATTCAACAATAACCCCCTGCCCTTGCCAGTTTCAGATCGTAAGTGGGCTGCACTTATGACTGTTCTAGGCAGCCCATATAATTGGAATCATACAATATCTGTCCTTTGTGACTAGCATGTTTCACTGAGCATCATGTCCTCAAGGTTCATTTATGTTGTAGCAGGTGTCAGATCTCCTTCCTTCCTTTTTAAGGCTGGATAATAGTCTAGTATATGTGTATACCACATTTTTTTTTTTATCTATTCAAACTTTGGAAAATGGCATCGGTATTATAGTAACTTCTGGCTTTCTGCACCCTGGCCTTATACACACCCCCGGACAGGAGAGGGTTCATGCGGGATGGAAGTGGGGGGCAGCCCCCCAGGAGGGCCGGCGTGGTGCTCTGGGCCCTGTCTGGGGGTCAGTGACAGGACTGAAACAGAGCTTCACAGACCAGGACCTTCCCCGTGGCCAGGCTTCATTGCATCTCCCAAGGCCCAGACGAAACAGTTTCTTCCTCCAGAATTCCCACCAATAAGGTGGAATTTGAAAAAAGCTAGGAATCCCACCAGAACAGCGCAGAACGTAAAACAGTTATCCCTAAGGCAGGGTGGTGTCCAAGGACTTATGACTGAAAATCCTAGCAGCAAAATCCCCTCGCACGATCCTCTTGGAGACCAAATAGCACTGCCCAAACGTGAGACATGATCCCTGTCCAGGTCAAATCCTGACAAACTTTGAAGACCAATTATCCCAATTCTTTTCAAGGTTTGTGTGATGCTGGTCGGGCTGCGTCAAATGCCATCCTTCTTCAAGGTTTAGGGTAAGTCTACACAAACCATCTTTGTCCAGCATGCATGAGCTGTGACCAGTCAGTCAGCCCACGGGAGAATCTCAGTGTTTGTCTGGTTGTCGCCGGGCCAGGCCACAAAGCCTGCTGGACAACCCCGAACAAGAAAGTACCAGACTGTCCTCAGGATCCACTCCAGGGCTTAGGGAAGAAAGCCTTGGAAGGGCTTTCAAGCTCTCACTGGAATCCCTCCTGCTGCACCCACCTTGTCTCCTTGGCTGTGATGTGGGGAGAAAGGGGAAGGCCAGTGGCTAGACACTGTATGAGAATTTAGCACACGGGGACATAAGTAGATGAGGCCAAAGAGTGAAAAGAGAGCCCACCACAAGTGGTTCACGTCTTTCGTGGTCTTAACCACCGAAGCAACAGCATCCTCAGATCTCTGTGCTCAGAGCCCTCCCTCACCAACTGGACTAAGATGAAGCCCAGCCTCTGAGGTGATTCCCCCCTATGAAGGGAGGCCCCCACGAACTCGCAGCTGTCCCGTACCTCTGTGGCCTGCCCACAGATTTCCAGCCAGGAGGCTCAATCAGCTCATACAGAGGCTTGACCGACCCATCCCCCTGGTGTAACTCAGCCCTCCTGAACTAAAGTGCAGGGAGAGGAGGGGAGGGGGCCTGTGCTGACCCTGCCCTACCAGCCTCTAGGTCCCTTCTCCTGACTCGTCCTGGGGACCCCCCTCCTCTCCCTTTCCAGACCACTCCCTGTGGGGACCCTATACAGATCTGTAAATGGCTGAACTCAAGAGGAGCCGAGGTTAAAACCTTTCCCACAGCATCCCTGGGCACCAAGCAAACAGTATGGATGGACATGTGTCTCGATACTCAGAACATTCCATGACAGCCAAGGAGTTGAGGAACATTCTAGAAGAGTTAAGAAGCTGGTCATTCAGGGCACACAGATAATGTCTAGGGGGCAGCCAATTTCTGACACCTCTGACATCGATCCCCCAAATCTTTAGCGTATAAAGTCTGGATTTGTATAATAAGACCCAGAAATGGATCTAAACTTCTCTGTGGTATGGACACTATTATCAGTCATTAGTAGCCGCCTGCCCCGGCATCCCTTTGCAAACATCTTTGCTTTTCATTCCCCCCCGCCCCTCAATCCTGCTGGCCTGTGAGTTCTTGAGGACTCTAGCCATGACCCAGCCTGTCCGGGCTCCTTGTGGCTCTCAGCCCTCAGCCCATGTGGTTCTGTTGGTAAAAGAATTGCTTTGTTGTCCTTCTGCACCTGCTTCTCCACCTGCAGCCCCGGGAGCCACAGCCCCAGACTGCTTCCTGCCACTCGGCGGCCGCGGGAGGTCTTACTGAAGCAGGAAAAAGGGCAAACAATCAGAACTGTTCGCTAAAGTCATCATTATTGTGGCTCCTTAGACAAACTCTTGTCTTTCTAGAATTTCAGATAAACATGCTTCCTTCACCAATCTGGATGGGAAAGTGACGGTCATGCCACACAGCAAATGCAAAGTTGTCGTTAATGGGGTGCCCATCGTGACCAAGACGAAGCTGCAGCACCTGGTGAACTTTCCTGCCTGGTCACAGAATTCCCTAAGCCCAACCCGAGAGCTAGGATGGGGGTCCTCGACAGGTGCCAACCACCCCGTGTCCTTCTGCTATGGTCACGACAGACACGGTCACAGCCTGGGGTTGGGAGATCTAATATTAACTCGCTGTGTGTTCTTGGGCAAGTCACTTCACTTCTCTGGACTTCATCTACAAAACAGAGAGGTGTGAACTAGAAGTTCACCAAGACCCTTTCCAGCTCTAATGTTTTGTGATAGCTTAGACTTCTTTAAAAACCTGCCACAGGGAGAGACTATAGCACCTCGAAAAGCCTGGGCTCCCCATCTCCTCCCCAGGCCCCAGCCTGAGTCCCCAGCACCATAGGGCCCAATCCCCTCTTCAACACATTCCCCACACTGTAGCCACAGAGAACCTTCTAGACAAGCTCTTTGGGGTAGACCCCGCCCTCCTGGAAATCCTCAGTGACCACACCTTTTCTCTTCTTCAACCCATTCCCCACACTGTAGCCACAGAGAACCTTCTAGACAAGCTCTTTGGGATAGACCCCGCCCTCCTGGAAATCCTCAGTGACCACACCTGTGTGAGCGGCCCCATCGCTCCGCCTCCTCCAGCCTCACTGCTCCACACGAAGGTCACACTGACCTTCTCTTGATTGTTCAAAACATCCCAGGCTCTGTTCAGCAGCAGTCTTCTCTGCCTTGGTGAAACTTACCACCCCTGATGTCTTAGCTTAAATAGTGCACCTCGGGAGAGGATTGCTCGGATCCCCAGTACATATTAGGCCCCTCGTCCCTTCTGCAGAAGCACACCCTTTCATTCAGGCATCTCTCTCAGGCTATTACACTATTTGTCTATAAAGTCCTAGAGGGGAGGGCCCAGGTCTGTTTGGTCCCCACTGGGATTCCCGAGTCAGAGCTCGATGTGGGATACCAAAGAAAAAATGAAAGCATACACACAAAAGCAAGATGCCAACCTCTTCCTCCCTGTTCATGGGTCTCTTCCCTGTCTGGGGAACTCGTGAAGGTCTTGTGATTGAACACAGTCGGACTGGGCATGGGGCCTTGGCCTCCCCTGGGGCAGGCTGATCCCACACCTCTGGCCTCCATTCTTCCCCTGAGCCACCTGTCTCCTCCCTAGGACCGCATTATCTTGGGATCCAACAGCTCCTACCTCTACATTGGGTTTCCTTCAGAGAGAGGCAATGAAGACTTGAACAGGTTTGACTATGACTTTTTCCAGCTGGAGAGAGCGGCTGCAGAAGGAGTGAGCGTGGACAAGCTCGGTGAGCAGCCCAGGGCCCTGCCTTCCCAGCATATTCCACGTGCTGATCTGAAAGCAACGGCTTTCTCTGTGTGCGCTCCTGCCTTCCTTAAGAAAATCATCTTTTACTGTTTCAAAGGGCAATGTTTGGAAAGTTAAAATAGATTTCCATGTAGATGTAGAAATGAGGGCATGTCAAAGATTTAATTCATTAAACTGTTTCTTTAGGGCACCTGGGTGGCTCAGATGGTTAAGCGTCTGCCTTCAGCTCAGGTTGTGATCCCCGAGTCCTGGGATCGAGTCCCCACATCGGGCTCCTGGCTCGGCGGAGAGCCTGCCTCTCCCCCTGCTCATGCTCTATCTCTGTGTCTCAAATGAATAAATAAAATCTTAAAAAAAATAAAAAATAAACAGTTTCTTTAATAAATGGAGTAGAGAAGAGAGTGGTATATCCAGTTGACCCTTGAACAACACGGGTTTGAACTGCATGGGTCCACTTATATGTGGATTTTTTTAAAAAATAAATACAGCATAGTTCTGTAAATGTATTTTCTCTTCCTTAGGATTTTCTTCTCTCTAGTGTACTTTGTTGTAAGAACACAGCATATAATACATAGAACAGACAAAATGTGTATTCATCAATTGCTTCTTGGTGAGTCTTCCAGCCAACAACAGGCTACTAGTAGGTACAATTTGGGGGAGTCAAAAGTTGAGTGGATTTTTGACTCTAAGGGGGGTCAGGGCCCCAACCAATAGTTTAGTGAGTGGACACTGGGACATCCCCTTAGGGGATCAGAATCCCTACACAAGGCTCTGCTAGGACATTTAAAGGACAGTCATCCCTTTTGCCTTATTTCCGTGTTCTGGAGGTTCTTCTCCAGAGCCTCCCCTGCACTTCACAGCCGCCATGTGGCTCTCACATACAATTCCCACTGCATCGTGGCCAGTCCACCTGTCCTCAGTGCCTGGACACGTTCCACCCTCCTTCCCCAGAGCCGCTTGCCATGGTGGGGAAGCAGTGTGTGGGCAATGCTCAATTTTGAAGCAATTTCTTGAGACGTACAGAAAAGTTTCAAGAGTCATGCATAGGACTCTCATACACACCTGAGTTCCTGTGTCAACATTTCCTATACTTGCTTTATTATATATCTGTAATGTGTGTATATATATGTAAATATGTGTATACATCATCTTTAAATATATATATAATTTTTTCCTAATCATTTGAGAGTAAGTGGGTTGAGAGTAATCATTGAGAGTAATTGAGAGTAATATGGACTTGATGCATATTTAACTAATTGTTCATGTCAACAGTGTCCTTTATAACAACAACAAATTCAAGTCCAACATCCAAATAAGGACCACATTCAGTTGTCACGTCTTTGGTCTCCTTAAACCTGGTAAAGGTCTTTGTCTTTCATGACCTTGATGTTTTTAAAGAGTAAAGGCCAGTTGTTTAGCAAAATGTTCCTTAATTTATCTTTTTGGTGGCTGCCCAGTTTCTCCACTGTGAAGTTACTAATTCTTTTTAATTAATATATTTTTTAAGATTTCATTTTTATTTATTTGACAGAGAGACAGCGAGAGAAGTGGGAGAGGGAGAAGCAGGCTTCCCGCTGAGCAGGGAGCCCATTGCGGGGCTCGATCCCAGGACCCTGGGATCATGACCTGAGCTGAAGGCAGATGCTTAATGACTGAGCCACTCAGGCACCCCTTTAATTAATATTTTATGAGAGACTTAGATATGTAGATACCCTACATCTCATCATACTTTCATCCATTAGTTTTATCATCCTTTGATCATTCTTGGCTTGGATTATGATGATGACTTTTGTCAAATGGTGAATTTCTAGCTGGACCCTTTCTTCTACATTCAGTTGAAAAAATCCACTGTGAAGAAGAAATGGTCTCTATTTGCTTATTCACTTATTTATGTCAATGTGATCTCACAGAATCCAATTTTACACAATGGGTTTTAATCTGTTGCTTTCAGGGGTTTTTTTGATGCACAAACTGTCCTAGATATGGCCTGAGGAGTCCCTTCAAGCTGACTTCCATGTCTTCCTGACATGTCCCCATCATTCCTTGAACACCAGCTTCCTTTATGGCAGAAGAACATATTCTAGGTTCATCTGTGGACTCTCAGTCCCAGCACTGGAGTTAGGCACTTCTCCCAGCATCCTGACTCCTTTTGGTTGAGAATTGCATTTATAAATCAAGATCTGAGGCTGGGTATGCAGACCGCTGTATTGATATAAAGATATGTCTCTATGGACAGAGAGATGTACATCTCCCACACACATATGGAGAGCTTTGTCTATATCCACAAAACCATGAGTTCATATATGATAACTTCCAATTCCAGTTCAATGCCCCAGGAGTTAGTCTAGTTTTCCCTTGGTGCGGAAAACTTTTAATATAATATTTATGTTCCATTTTTCTCCATCTGTCCTCTGGATTCCATCCCCCAGAGCAGAGGGAGAGGGAGAAGCAGATGCCACGATGAGCAGGAAGCCCCACGCGGGACTCGGCCCCAGCACCCTGAGATCATGACCTGAGTCGAAGGCAGACCCTTAACCAAGCCACCCAGGCGCCCCCACCCCAGCACCTTCTTTATCATTTGTCCCTGCAGAGTCCCCTCCCCTGCATCATCAAATGCTCTCTATGGGTCGTTCCCATCACACAAACATGCTCCACTATCTTCCATCAGAAAACTAAACAAACCCCTACCTTGACCCACGCCCCCCTTTAGCTATGCCATATTGCTTTTTATTCCCTTTGATAGAAAACTAGTCAGCTATTCCCACTTTCTCATCTCTCAGGCACGGCCTGGCCTCCTTCAGCCGGCCTCCGTCCCGACCATTCCTAGACGCTGTGCACTCTGTGTTCTAGATCAGTAGACACCTGTCCACGCCCATCTCACTGAGGTCTGGGCAACGTTTTGCACTGTTGAGTACTCTCTCCCGTATGAAATATTTTCCTCTTGGAACAACACGCCCTCTTGGTTTCCTTCCAGGCTGCTGCTCCCACATCCCCTTTCCTGGCTCCCCCTCATCTGAGCCATGTTGAGCTTGGACCTTGGGACTCTTCTCCAGATGGATGCTCCCCCAGGTCCTCATCCAGCCTCAGTGGCGCTCAGCACCATCTTATGGAAACGACCCTCAGCAACCATTTCTTGCTATCTACTTGCGCTCTGCTTGGCATCTTCATCCAGCTGCCTTCCCGATAGTTCCACCTGCACGTCCCACAGACGTCTCAACCACTCACTGCACCCTATTTTCACACCCAAATTTACCACATTGGCCTCCTCCCTTCCCTCACTTCATGATCCAATCCACCTTTCCTCCATCGGCTTGCACTGCCATTTCTGTGCAAGCCACCTTCTTCTCTTGCCTGTTACTCTCGGGCTGAAAATTATTCATCAACTTCTCAGTATAAGAATAAAATCCAAACTCCTTACCATGGCCTTGAAGGCCCTATATGACCCACCACGGCCTCATCTCACACCACTCTCTCCTTACCTCACTTTGAAACTTCCTGGTCTCCTTGTGCTCCTGCAGTACACACCAAGCCCTGTTCTGCCTCAGGGCCTTTGTACTTGTTGCTTGTTTTCCTTTGCCTCTTCAGCTCATTCTCAGCTTTCAACCCTCAGTTGAAATCTTACCTTTCAGATAGATCTTCCCCTTTCTTGGTCTCATCCAGTTACTCTCTCTTACATAATTCTATTTCCTTCTAACATTTATCACATTTAAAATTTTACTTATTGCTTTACTTGATTATTTTCTATTCATCCATGTGAGAATATCAGCTCTAACTGGGATTTTTTTCTCTTGTTCATCCATTTATTTATATCTTCTTTCATTAAGTATTAGCTGAGCTCCTACTATGTGCTAGATGTGGTTTTAAGTCCTGGGGATCCTTCCCTGCTTTACAGAGCTGACAGGAGTATGTTCACTCCCTAATCTCCAGAGGGCCCTCAGTGAGTATTTGTTGTATGAATGATGAATGAGATAAATTGAATCAGTCCCCACACAGAAGCTTAGTTATGCATGTGTGTGACCAAGGGCCCAAATGCGGGCACCTCCCTGCTCTGTCTGGGAACACAGCCACCCCAGGAGCGTCATGCCCCGGACATCAGGTCCCTCCCAGGCGAGGGCAGACTGGGATGTGAGCTCCCCACTCACCTCCTAGCCCCACCTAGCGGCCTTCTGAGCCTACAGAAGCTGTAACCCAATAACTAGAGAGACTCAGTGTGAGGCTGGACAGATGGTTGGAGAGATGGTGATGGACAGAGTCCAGGCCCTGGACTAGAGAAAATCCAGCCTTGGGTTTCTGAGTCTAAGATGTTCCTTCTGCTCTCAACCTGCCTTCCACCCCCCAGCACTAATCTGGGATTCCTCAGAGTCAAGAGCATCCAAAGCTCTGACACTGCCCTTCCTTGCATCAGGGAGGCTCCGGAGCACCTTCCCTGTCTCCCACACCCAGGCCTGGGTGGCTTTGCTCAGGGCTCTCCTGGGGTCTGGGCGAACTGGCACTCCACGGAAAGCTTTGTGCTGTGCTGGGCCCCTGGGTGGAGGAGCGGCCCATACGTGCCAGGGCCAGCCCTTTCCTGGAGAACACTAGCTTGCCTGAACTTGCCTGAAAACCATGAGTGGAGGGCACTGGGATGCACCCACACGCGTGCAAAACAGTCTCTCCCTTTTCCCTATACCAGTTTTTTCCTCCAAATTTCAGCAAAATAAACGGATGCGAAATTCACCTCCTTACTCCTTTTCTGCTGCAGTTCCTGACCCAAACAAACAAGGCTCTGGAGCACCAAGCCTACATACTCCATTTACTCATGCACACCTTCTTCCCCAGCCCAGGGCTAGTGGCGCAACGAGGTGCAACAAGCGCCAGACCCTTGGTTGAAAGCACTCGGCATCTGTGAAGACTGCGGGTCCTCAACAAGGCAGTAGTGGACAGTTCTGCGGAGCCAGACCTCAGGGCCACAGGGCACGGTGTGGACCCGTGGGCAGGAAATCCCTAGAGTTGAGAGTCCCTGACACAAGGCAGCACCAGCCTGGGTCTGGCAGGGGGACTGGCTGTCCCACCATCTCCAGGACCCCCAGATGCAAACTACCCAAGGGACAGAAGTAAGAACCGGTTACCTGCTGCTCAAGAGGAATCCCCAGACCTTCATGTAGCCAACCATGCTTTATGCTCCCCACCCTCCTCCCAGGACAATCTGCAGCTGCTTTGATCAAGGACCCTGAGACCACAAATGGGAACCAGAGGCAGGGATCCTCCTGTCGTGACACTGCCGAGATTCATGGGTTGAGATGAGTAGCTATTTAAGAGAGAGTCGGGTAGTGGTTTTTCTCCACACTTACTTGGTTTGGGTTTTTTTTTTCAAGATTTCATTTATTTGAGAGAGAGAGAGAGAGAGAGCACGTGCATGAGTGGGGGGGGCAGAGGGAGGGGGAGAGGCAGGCTCCCCGCTGAGCAGGGAGCCCCACACGGGACTCGATTCCGGGACTCTAGGATCATGACCTGAGTCGAAGGCAGATGCTTAGCCCACTGAGCCACACAGACACCCCTGGGTTTTTTTTGTTTTGTTTTTTTAATTACATGCTTATAATTTTTAAATGCAGACATTTGATGAACAATCAAATGAATGAGCGAGCATATGAATTCCCTTGTGGCTGACAAGTGTCCCAGAACAGGTGGCCAGCGCTCAGGAGCACTGTGCTGTCTTCCTAGGGGCCGCAGGCCACGGGGAGGGGAACGCAGACCCCAGCGTGCTGGCCGTGTTCCAGGACTATGTCAAACTGATGCCGCTGGTGGCGGAAGCAAATCAGATGCGCGAAGAGCTGGAGAAGGTAAGAGCTAGGAGACGATACAGCGCCAGGTCCAGGAAAGGCCCCGGGGAACAAGGTCCACGGCCCCTCACGCCACTGCTCCAGCTGTCTCCGTGGTATGGACGGGGACATCGGGGCCTGGAGAGGTCAGGACCCGGGACCCCACCATGAGCCAGTGACAGAACCCAGGTCAACACCCAGACTCACCAGTCCCAGCCGCTAGCGCCATTCCTTCCACCTCTGGCCACTGAGGCTGCCACGGCCACCAGGGCCCCAGACCCCAGGGCCCCAGACCAATGCTTGCCTGCCAAACCACCCCATCCCAGATTGCCCTCCAGTGGGGTTTCTCTGGGCCCAGCACCCCGAAGCCTTCTAGGCCACAGAGAGGACCTGAGCGGGGGTTGGCCCCCTGGATACAGGATCCCAATCCTCAGGAAACTTGCAAGAGACTTACACGTTTGGGAGTGTCAGAGAAAGGGAAAGACAGGCAGGGTGACTTAGGGTAAAGTGTTTCTCTTGCTAGGGACTCAGAATGGAACTGAAGGTGAAGAATTTAGCGTCGTCAGACTCTAGGGGCTACGACCTACAGAAAGAGGTCATGGTGAAAGTGACCCACCAAAGGACTCATGAGGTGAGGACGCCTCTGGGGACGGGGTTTCTGAGGCACTCTCCCAGGGACAGAGTTCAGTTCACCCCTACAGCCTGTGGAGACCCAGTGAAAGGACACCATGTGTTCTGAGTGTGAGCTGGGACTCTGTGGACAGTGTCTGGGGACAGAAGACCCCTCCTCTGTGTTTCCCTCCTGGGCCTCTCTCCCACACGGCACCAAGTCCTGGGAATGGTCCCGATCACCAGCACTGAATACTTTCTGTTGTTTTTTTTTCTCTTTTTATTTATTTATTTGAGAGAGAAAGAGCATGAGCAGGAGAGGGTGAAGCAGGCTTCCCGCGGAGCAGGGAGCCCAATACGGGACTCGACCCCAGGACCCTGGGATCATGACCTGAGCCGAAGGCAGACGCTTAACCAACTGAGCCACCCAGGTGCCCTATTTTTAACATGACTTAAAGGCTTGAGTACCAGAAGGGAGCCTGAGAGTTTATCCAACTGATGGTAGTGTCTGTGTGCAAGCAAGACAGAGACAGAGAGACGAGCCCGTCTGGAGCAATGAGAAAATCTGCACTCCTGTTAAGATTGCAGAAAAGGCCGTGGCTGATCCATTCCTATGTTTGCCTTTGCTCACTGGCAGGAGGGTCCCCTTCAGGTACCTAAGACCCCTTGCCTTTCCCTCTGCCCAACAGAAAAGACTGGGGCGCTCTTTGGGTGTCCTTTATGTATTTTTGCCTTTGGAGCATGCCCCGGACCTCTGGCTCCAGCCCAACACACTCTCCTTAGCCCATCTTCTGAGATGAGCCCCGAATTCTCTGGGGGCCTCCGGGTGGGCTGCTCCCTCCCAAATCCACGGCCGGAGTTGGCAAATGTGCCACTGGCGAAGGGGACCATCCGTCACTAGATGATCTGCTCTACCGAGCAACGAGCTGTTCCTTCTCTGGGTTTCACACTTCCGCTCGTTCCCCCAAAGTTGTCGAAATCTTCTGGGTCAAGCCCGCTGTGTAAAATCTTCTTAAAATTGTGAAATGCGACACACAGGGAAAGATAGGGGCCTGTGTGTGTGTTTTCTGCCAGGTGCTGGGGTCACAAGGTCACGGCTCGAGTTTAACGGGCCCCCAGGCTGGGAGGGCCCAGGGAGCAAACCTGAGCCAGGCCAGTCTCCACCCCGAACTTCTGAGACATGTTCCTGTTCTTTTCAGTCTCTTCATCTGACCAGCGCCACAGTGGCCTCCTCTGAATCTCCTGGGGTGAGGAGAGAGGGGAGACATGTTCCATCCCTTCACGTCACTGTAGCAAAGTCCCTCACCGCCGGGGAGGCTCGAGCAACAAAGCTTTATCTCTCACAGCTCTTGAGGCTGGAAGCCCAAAATCGTGGCACGGGCAGATTTGCTATCCAGTGAGGGACGGCTTCATGGGTCAGAGCGGACATCTTCTTGCTGGGTCCTCGCATGATGTTAGGGCCCTGGGAGGGTTCTGGGGCTGCCTTCGTAAGGGCGCTAACTCCATTCATGAGGGCTCCACCCTCATGAGCTGGTCACTTTGCATATGCTCCGCTTCCTCATCCCATCACATCGGGGGTTAGGTTCCAACGTATGGATTTGGGGGGACCTAACATTCAGTCCAGAGCAGCAGGCTTGATGCCGGCTCACCGCACACCCCCAGGGCAGCTCTCGGGGGTCTCGGTCTGAGACACCCACCCTGGGAGTCAACCTGGACTTCTGTGAGGCCTTCGGAGCTGAATCCTCAATGTGTGTGTGATTATGCTTTTGTTTCTTGTGTTTTCTAGAAGGTGCCATGAGGACAGAGAAGCTTTGGTGATCCAGTGTTCCACATGCCTCTCTGGGGCCAGGCATGCCCCCCGAGTTGGGGTTGGCAGTTTCCTACTGTCTTGTCAGACCTTGTTTCAAGGAGATTTTTAGTTTTTAAAAACTGTTTTTCATGTGATTCTGTGTTCCAAGGCTTATTGTTTATTATGGTTTAAGGTGATTTGAAAACACTTTATTCAGCCTCTTCTATTATTAGCAGGAAGGTTACCTGAATCACACAGGCTGCCCTGGCCAGAAATAGAAGGCAAAGCCGTGTTTTTGCACCTTAGGGTTAAGCGTATCCTGGGGGAGAGCACTGGCCGGCTTCTGTAGAAACCACACTGGGCTCCCTTGTAAGGGGCTGGGTGCTAACAGATTTTATGGTGATTTTGTTTCTATTTTTCTTTCTTCTCAGAGGCTAATCTTACTGATCTGTCATCTTCAAGCCTGTCCATTTCACCTTTTAAAAGTACCAGTGACCTTTCCTCGAAAGAAGGTACTCCTTCCCCAGGAGCCCACCTGAAATGTTGGCGGTTGGTCGTTCTGGGAATGCTCTGTGGGTCTGGTTCTGAAGGCTCGAAGAACAGCCTGGTGCAGAGCGGCAATGTGGAGAGACACACTCGGCACGTTTTTGGTGGCTGGTCTTGCAAACGTTCGCCTCAGACTGCGAACCATGAATGCCACTGGGAGGAGACAGGACCCACGGGCTGCTCGTGTGACCATCAGAGTCACATCCCAGACAATTCAGGAGCTGGCCAGGGCCACGGGAGGAGAGGGAGGTTGTCTACACTGGAAAGGCTAGCCGCACTCACTTTTTAGGAGTTCCTGTGCAAAAGCTTCCAGCCAGGGAGTCTGTGCCCAGGGTCACACCTGCTGGTCCCACAGAGCCTCGCTGACCTGTCACAGGGCCCGAAGTCTGCTCTCCGCAAGGAGGGATGCAGCGGACTGATGATCTGGGTTCCCATGATCTTAGCTCCTTAGCCTAAAGGTCTTGAAAAAGCCCACACTCTCTGGAACTTGTGTTGTGCTCTGTCCACATAGCATTTGCCACGGCCACATTCGCAGGGACTCTTGGAGGACAGGGCTGTGCCTCACTGTATTCGAGGCAGACAAGAAAAGAAAAAAGTCTTTTAGTGTCTTTTTTCTTAGGGAAGTAAGGTTGAATCAGGTTCCAATTTGATGAGGCCAAATCATGACTAAATGAGCTTTGCTTTAACGCTGTTGTGTTGCCTCTTACCCTCCTTCTAGGGAGGCTCCTCTGTTCTCTCTTCAGGCTGTAGGCAGTTCAGGCAGTTTACACAAAAGCCCAAGTCTCTTAGCAATCCTAAGCAAAGAGGCAGGCAGGCAGGGGCTCTGGCCTGGGGGCTCAATCCCCTTGGGTACCCACAGCAACCTTTTTGTCTTTCTGAAGAGGTAACAGGCTCAGGAAGGGGGCAAGAGGACTGCAAGGTCCTATGACCCAGGGACCAAGCTGACCATCAACTCACTGTCTTTGTTGGGACTCGACAAAAGTTTCCGGTCACTGGGCCACCTCGGGCTTCTGGGCTACTGGATGGTTGATCTCTCATGGCAAGTTAGTAAGGCAGCATTTTAGTTTCTAGGCTTTGGTCTTTGTGAACTTGATGGGAGTTGATGTGAGAAACACATCACAGTTGATGTGAGAGACACATCACAGTTGATGTGAGAGACACATTGGAAAGCGGTCCAAATTGGTTTGCAAACTTGTAGGCTTGGAGTTGACTCTGGACTGTGAAGATTTCACCAAGGAAAATGGCACCTTGGGGAGGCCGTGTCTGGGCAGCCAGCTGGCTCTCCCTGGGTAGGAGCCCCTCTCCCCCCTGGGAACCTACCTAGGTCTCCACCACTAGCTCAATTATCGCATGAACCAGTTATATTGCTGTCTCCTCCTCAAGAAGATTGTGAGCTCCTTGAATGTCTCTTGAATGAATGAATTCCACAGCTGGTAACATCCCCTGTCTTTTCTTCAGAGAAGTTGGCCATCTCTTGAGGAGTCTCAATGATCCCCTTTGATGACACAATCCTAACTTGCTTCGGTCCCAGCTAACACCTGTGGTCCATGTTCTCTTTCTCTGTTTGCAGAGCATGTGGTGAGGAGGATGTGGTATTTGACCCTTCAGAGTTGCTGGGCAAGGGGATGGATTTCTAGATTGGCCTCATGCAGTGCCTTGGCATCAAGTGGCTCAAGGAAGGCGCAGAGCGGGGGCATTCAGATGGGGTACCAGCCTGCCCCATGGAGCTGTGTGCATACACCACCCCCCTTGTGGGCCCTGGTGGGAGGGAGTCTTTCCTTAAGTTTCAAAAATGAGTGTATCATGAAATTTTCTTAAGTTTCTCTGCTTGCTCAACCCCAACATGAGTATTTCCCCGTCTGTTTAATGGAAGCCCCCCTTCTTCTAGGTTGCTGGACTGTAAGCCATGTGTGCTGAGAAGAGTGAAGCAGAAGAGATTTTAATTATCTGATAGAATACCCAGTAAAGCTGTATTATCTACATGGAATAGTTTGGGGTTTTTTTGAGTTGGAAACAAAAGGACTATATTACAATATGGTGGAAGCACTAGATAGGCTTAATTAGGCTAAAAAGATTTTAAGCGATAAAGGGAAGGTTTAAAGGACAAAAACCAAACCACCACCTCACATGGAAAATTAACACTTTTTGATTATTGAAGTAGAAAGTATTTATCAAAGTGTTTATCCATTTCCTTCCATTTCATTTTCCTTTTTGTTAGACATGTAATACTCTCCATATAGTGATGCTTCTCACAGTAAGTAGCTGAAACGTTGGGGGTAGCACTCGCGAGAAGCAATTACAGGTCACCCTGTATCGACTGACCAATGCAGGCCATTGTTCTTGGGCTCATCTGATCCTTTTCTTTATAAATGTGTCCCTTCTGGTTTTAAATCGTGTTTTCTGTTCTTTTCTCAGGTACAGAATTTATGATCTTTCAAGCACTTTCTATACCAAGCCTGTATGGAAAATTGTGAATCCCCAAATAGAAGAAACTGTCTAATTTACAGCTTTAAATGCATCTCAGGAGTTTCTGAATTATTTACAAACAAATGCTCTCATTGTTGATTTTAAGGGTCTTCAAGGTACCCTGTTTACTTCCTCTTTGGCATGATGCCTTCTTCCATCAGATATCATGTCAGTGTATCTAGGGCTGCCAAGGGAGGGATGGAGGGACGGAGGGGGTCAGGGTCTTAACAGTCAAGAGTCATCTTCTCCTGGGTCCCTAGGCTCTAGTCCATGGGGGATTATATGGTTTAAATCTCTTCATACGACACTGGGGCCAGACAGCAGAGGTTTCTTTCCTTGATGGTGTCCCCCCACCAACATTGCAGAAGGCTGCGCCCAACTGAGCTGCTCTCAACCGGACCCCATGGTCACAAGTGAAGGCCACATCATGGTGGACACCAAGAAAATTTCCACAGTGATGGATACAGGCCAGGTGTGCACATTTATGTGGCAAATAGACATGGCAGATGATGAAATCCCAGGTGATAGCCGCTTAGGGATCATCAGTGTTCCTTCCACTTGACAAGTGTTTTCTTGATTTACTCCTGTGTTTGAGGGGCTTAAACCCTGCTCACCAACCCCCACCCCCATCTAGTTGTCCCCTGGTAATAAAAACTGCCCGTCCCAAAGGGTACACAAAAAATCCAGCAAAAGGCTAAACGGACATGTTTTTTGTAGACCACCTCAAATCAGACATCAGAACTTTATATGAAGTTGCTCAAGTTAGAACAGGAGATGGAACTGCTCAGAAACATTAACAGAGCCTTGAGAGAGGAAAATGTGCTGCTCAAACACTCACTTGAGAAAGCTGGTTCTGCTCAACAAGGTGAGAGGCAACCCAAGTCTTGGTTGTTTACTTTCTAAACTCCTACATCTGAGAGGTGTGTTTGTATTTCTAAGAAATTTACTTTTTAATGAGTTGGCCTAGATCTTATTTCATTAAAAAATGCAGAATTTTTTTTTTCCTTCTGCCGGGTAAGAGTTCTCTGGAGGAGTCTCCATCAGTGTTTGATAAATGCTGCTGGTGGAATGCCACCAAAGTAAATACCCAGACACTTGGAGGAACAGATGATTAAATAAATATTATCTTTTCCCGCTACCTCAGCACAGAAGCCTTCAGATAGCGGGAAGGTCACTCAGACGCCAGCACAACTCCCCGCAGCCGGAGAGATTCATCACACGTCCGCTCAGCGAGCCAGCTCTGACAGAGAGTTGGCCAAAGCTCTGAAGGTCTTCTACCAAAGCCTGAATGCGGCAAGAGGACAGTTTCTCAGACTGAGACATTATAAACCTCCTGTGAGTAACCAGAATCCTGGGAGCAAAAGCAATCTTTCTCCATTAAATTCAGGCATTTGAGGGAACGGCATTGCTTGAGCTTGGAGAGGGGTGTGTGTGTTTCAGCAAAAGCAGGGTTGGGGGCCTGAACCGTGTGTCCCCTGCTTTCTTGGGCAGCCATCTTTACTCTTGCTTTTTTATTCCAGTGGGACATCTGGCTGCTTCCAGGTATTGGCATTCATTGACTTTGTGATTAACAGAGTATCCCCGAAATGCAAATTGGGTTTATTGTTATAAACCAAATAAGATACTTTAGGAGAAAAATCATGATTACTTCAAGAGATTCAGAAAAAGCATATGATAAAATTCAGCATCTTACCATGATAAAAACTCTTAGCATATTAGGAATAAAATGTGCATTCCTTAATTTGATGAAGGCCATCTTAAACACAGAGCAAGCATGAGGCTGAATGGCGAATCGCTGAATGCTCTCCCTTTTACATCAGGAAGAAGTCCAAGATGCTAGCAAAATTTACTTGTTTCCCACTGTACCTGAGGCTCTAGCCAGTGCCACAAGGCAAGAAATACAAGGTAGAAAGATTGAAAGGGGGAAAAAAAGTCATAGGAACAATAGCACATATTTATACATTATTTACTAAGTGTTTTACAGTTACTACCTCAATTCTACAACAACTTGATGCAGTAGGAACTAGGATTAGCCTTATTTTACAGTTCAGGGGTCTCAGGCACAAGAAGGGTTAAGTAACTTGTGTAAGGATACATGACTAGTTAAGTAGCAGGCCCAACCTCCAAACCCAGCAAGGGGCACTTCACAGTCTATATTCCTTCCTACTACCCCAGGCTGCCTCTGTTTTTATTCCCAGATGATATGTTTATGTAAATTAAAAATCCAGAAGAATCTAGAAATTAACTAATAGAATTGTAAAGTTGCTGGAAAGAAAATCAGTATTTAAAAATTAACTGCATTTGAATATAACAGCATCAACCAGAACTGCCTTGTATAAGAGATGCCATTTATAATTGTGTCAAATATATAAAGTACTCAGGCCTACAACTAACATAAAACTATGTTTAAAAAGCCCATAAAACTATGGACTTCTATGGAGAGCATTTTAAAACTCGCTTGAGAGATGTTAAGGAAGATCTAAATAAAGGACGAAACATGCCACATCTGCATGGTTGGGAAGATTTGCTCTTGCAAATCTGTCACGTCTCCCTGAGATTCCGTATAATCCCAATCAAATGGAATGGGGTCTGACAAGATGATTCTATAATTTAGATGGAATCACAAAAGCAAAGAATGGCCAAGACCAAGACCCCAAAACAGCATGGGAAGATTGGCCACCTAACACCAAGGTCTGTTTTAATGCTACTCTACCAGATGGTAACACATCAGCCCCGATACACATAAAGTAACCAAAGGAAAAGGACAGAGGCCCAGAAATAGATTCACTCAGGACTAGAGACTTGATAGGTGACTGATGAGGAGCCGCAGTGGATGTGGTGAGGATGGATTTTTCAACAAACGGTGCTAGAATACATACACAAAAGGAAAAACGAAACTGGAGTCTCACCTAAGACGATACCCAGAAATCACTTTCAGTTGACAACCAAGGACCCAACCACAGAAGGAAAGAGCCTGGACACACCCATGAGCTCACAGTGGGACAGGACAGGAAAGCAGCCGCTGTCAAGAAAAACACTGATGGACGCACCTACATTAAAATGGTAAACTTTGACCCAGATACCCAAATAAAGCCAAAAGAAGTTCGGAAGGGTTATTTACAACACATTTAACATATAGCAAACTAATATCCAAAGTAGGGAACTACACAAATCAAAAAGAGAAACAGCCCAGCGGAAACAAGAATTTAAAAAAAAAGGGATCAAAAAACCGAAACAGGAATTTCACAAAAGAAACAAAAAAACCTATAAATATACGGAAAAGTGCTTAACATCATTAGAAGTTTGGAAAACACTACCTGAAACCACAATGAAACAGTACCATAAACCCAACCATACTGGCAAAATTTAGAAGTCTCAAAATCTCGAGTTGTGGCGATGGTCTGGAAAGAATGGAAATTGGAACAACCACTTAAAACACTTTTTTGTCATTTACCCTATAAAAGTTGAAGCTGCACCTACCCCAGAAGCCTGCCACTCTCCTCCAGAGTCTGCTGGTCCTGCAGAGGATTCAGCCCCAGTGCCCTGAAGCAGAGGTTCTCAAAGTGTGGTCCCCGGCCAACAGCTCCCAAACCATCGGGGTCTCAGAAATACAAACCCAGGGCCCCTGCCAGCCCTCCTAAGCCACACCCCTGATGTGCAGCCCCGGAGTCCGTGCTTTCACCAGCCCTCCAGGTGACTCTGCCTTAAACTGAAGTTTGAGAACCATCTCGCGAGGCATTCAATGTATGGAATGAATTCATTTCTCTCTTTTGCGTCCAGAATGGTACTCGTTATGCACCATTCTTGAGAGAATTGAGAAAACAGTCACGCAGATCATTTCCTGGTCTGTGGTTCAATGAGGAACCGGCTGAAAAACTCTGCAGACACCCACACCTATGCGCACTGGCTGTTCTTACCACCACCCCCAAAGTAGCCCCAAACTGGAAACGTCCCAATGCACACCCAGCGAAGACAGGTAAAGTACCGCACCCTCCATACCACGGAACTCCATCCTGCTGTGAAAGCAAACATACAACACAGGGAGTCTCAGCCCCGACCATGCTGACCTGCAAGTCACGAAAGGTATCACCCAATAGGATTCCATAAATGATCAAGAAACAGGCAAAATAGACTGTTTAAGGGTGCACTGCGGGTAGCGAGTCAGGCTAGCAGTTGTGCCTGGGGGGAGAGTAGGGGGTGCGACCAGGAGGGGCTTGAGGGGCAGAGCTCTTTCTGGAGTAGGTGAATTCACTCTAACACATTACAGGTACTTGTTTGTGTGTTTATCTCACAATAAAAAGAAAGAAAAGCTTTTAGGTGAAAAGCTAAAAATAAGCCACTGCCTGTTTGTATTATTTCTCATCAAATAGTATTCAGAATATATAAACAAATACCTTTAAGAGAATGAGGTGGTCAGAAAACACATTGGAGAAAATGGCTAAGGTACCTGAGCATCCATTTCATGAGTGATCCAGGAGACAGAAACCAAAAGGCCCCGCGGGGATGGGCTGGGCGCCCGCTGCCCCCTCCCATCTCAGCACTGCCACCCTCCAGCCCGCCCGCACCCCGGCAGCCTCTTCTCGGGCACCTGCTTCCCTGGGCGGGGGGACATAGCAGCCCACCCTCCCCCACCCACGGGAGAACCCCCAGCCCCACAGCGTCCTTGGCAGACCTCAGAACTTCTCCAATATTGGAGGAATGTTGATGATTCCAACCTGAGAAACTTTCATCAGCTCCACATGTCTCCCTATTAGCAGCATCTTCTAGAGGCTGAGTGACTCACCACCTCCACCAGCAGCTCTCAGCCGCAGCGCCGGGAGAACTTCCTGGGCACCCCACTCACGCCCGCACACGTTTTCACTCTAATCACGTGAGGCGACTGTCCTTTTTCATTTTCAGGAAGACGATGGATTGCTTCGACCGTTTGTACACCAACAGTCACGGAGGTTAAAGGACTTTGGGGAGCTGCTCGAATCCAGCTTGTGGAGACTGAAAAGCGATGTTGCTCGTATAGTGAAAGAAAAGAGAGCGTGCTCGCTGCATCCTGGATAGTGTGGGCTCGCCGACCGAAAACACCTGAGCTGTGGGAGAAGCTGGCTTGTGCAGCCCCCGAGCTTGATGAACTTGGCTCTCAGCTGAGCTGTGCACTCAACGTACCCAACCCATTTCTCGTACTGTTTCTGTCCTTGAGTTTGATTTCAAAACATGTAAAAATGAATCCACATCCAGGGTGAAGATGAGCTGGGACTGGACTGTCTCGGGCTAAATCCTGTTTAATCGGTCACTTCCCAACTGCAGTTTGAGGGAAGTGCCTTCCCCTCACAACTAAGCCTCTGGTTCCTTATTATAAGGGAATGACAACAGTACTAATTGCAGACGGTTAACGAACATAAAGAAATACAGGGGCGCCTGGGTGGCTCAGTTGGTTAAGCGTCTGCCTTCGGCTCAGGTCATGATCTCGGGGTCCTGGGATCAAGCCCCACATCGGGCTCCCTGCTCAGGGGAGGCCTGCTTCTTCCTCTCCCTCTGCCCTTCCCCTGCTCATGCTCTCTCACTCTGACTTGCTCTCTCTCAAATAAATAAAATCTTTTAAAAGTTCATAAAGGAATATAAAGCACTTAGAACAGTGCCTGGCACACTGAAGCAATTGAGAAGCATCGGTATCTTTACAGTAAACAGTCTGAAAGTTCAAATAAAGCTGTTTTGATACATTTCTTGCTGTCAGACCTGGAAACAAATGGTTATTTCAAGCCTCTCATTTTGTATCCTTGCTCGGGACAGAGTTGATATGAGTTGATATTCTGTCTCCGCGAGTTTATCTGCAAACTGTCCCGCGCACCGCACCGGTCTGCTGGTGTCAGTCAGGCCCAGGTGATCTTGGTTCCACACACAGCTCCCTGCCCGGGCTCCGCGGGGCCAACGAGCACCGAGCACCAGGCGCTCTGGGAAAGGCTGCAGAGAGCCCCTGATAGGGACGGCAGGAGTACTAATACCGAGGTTCCGCGAGCACAACATGGCAGCTCACATGTCCTTTGTTACAGTCCCATGAGTATGGCACAGTTACCTCCATGTTGAGGCTTTAAAGGATAAATGAACAAGGCCTGCCCTGGCCTCTGTGAGTGAGCGGTGGGCTGACTCAGGGGATGGTGTTCCTGCGGCAGAACTGCCCTGGGGGGCGGGGGGTGTGTGGCGCTGGGCTGATTTGCATAAGAACCAGGAAGGAGGAAACAGAGACAACAAGCCCAGTCCTTGCTCCCTAAAGAGTAAAGTTAGGGAGATCAAACAGGACACGGAAACTCCACTGGCAGGACGGGCTAGCGAGTCTCCCTAGGAAGGCGGGGAATCTGGTGATTTCTGCTAAATAACAGGTCCCAAGGGCTTATCAGGGAGGCTTGGGTTTTCCCTGCAGCTCAGGCTCGGGACTAGGACACACATCAGCTAAAAAATAACCTGAAAGCTTGCAGCCCAAGTGTGGAGCTCCGCATGGGGACGGTGGGGGTCCGGGATCTGCCAAGCCTCACGGAGTCCCTGAGAGCCTGTCAGTGAGGCAGACCAGCAGTGAGGCCCCAGGAAGCAGGAAAGGCTTCTACCCCTTGGACTGAGCTTCGAAGTTCTCTAATAATTTGCAGAAATAACTGCAGAAGGAATGTACTTCCAACTGGAGGAGACTTGGGGGGTTACAACGAAAATCTGGAGGAGACACACTTGTACACAGGTTGTATACACATCAGTGTCCACTTTATAGAGCCGGACACGGCAGACATCACCAAGCTGCAAAGAACACTGACACAGCATGCAGCTTCACCCAAGTGGCTCCCAAATGCACATCTAAACCACTGACTCCTGCAGGCCACGGGGGCCCACTGGGGAGCCCACTGTTGCATTAGGATTCTGCCATGTGGCTAGTCGTGAGATCTGCTGCTCCCGTACACCTTCCTGATTTTAAAGAGGATAAGAACTTTTCTAAGGGCCCACCAATGAGGGCACAGCTGAGCCTAGTTCCCAACCAGGCCGGGCAGAGGATGGACGAGACCCCAACACCACCACCACCATGAACCTCCCTCTTCAAGTTAGATCCCCCCTCAGTACAGGCAGCACAGAAGGGTCCCTCCACACGAATAAGGTTTCTATCTACGTCACGCTTCTCATTGAAGAGTAGAAATTTCATAAAGGCAGTGGCCAACCTCTTTATGTAATGAATGGCACAGAAGACTATGTATGTGTTTATCATATGCTTATTACAAAAGGAAAAGTCCTTTGCCTTATTTTAGGGCTTCAGTGGAAAACCTAGTTTTCTAGGAAAACCTAGTTAAAATACAAAAAATTTGTGTTTGGGGGGACCTGTTTGGGACCTGTTATTTAGCAGAAATCACCAGACTGTTTTCTAGGAAAACCTAGTTAAAATACAAAAAGTAAATTAGAGAAAAATTCTGGTCAGGCAGTGAAAATCAATAGAAACTGGCCAGCTAGATCTTTAAAACCAATCTCAAGTACAGAACCAGAGAAAAGAAATGACAGGCCCAATTCTAGCAATACCCGGGCCAGACTCCAACTCAAATACCTATGCAGGTCCAAACACAAAACCACTGTTCAAGTGACAACCCTTTATTATTCAACTTAGGTAATAGTCAAAAAATCAGTGTCTATGGGTGAAAAACTAGGCTAAAATAGCAAAAAAATGCAGTTTCATTTGGCAAAGTCCCGAAGAGTATGTAGAGAAACTTAGAAGGTGAGGTCCCGTTCAACACCATGGCAAAAGGAGAGTGGCGGTTACCGCCTCCCAAGACCACCAGCCTGAGCACCTCATCTGGGGCCTGTCAGCAGCACAGAGGGAGACCCCCACCCCAGCCTCTGATCTGCCAGCTCATGTTTAAAAATTGACCATGAATTCTTCAGTGAAAAAGTCAAAGATTAGTTCTCTCTCACGAGCAATAAAATCACGAAATCAGCTAAGATTTGAAATTTAGGGTAAGCTAGTACAATTTCCTGCTTTTAATGTGTACATATTTTATATTTGACAATCTTTAACATATAGTCAGGATATAGAAGAATTTAAAATTTTAAATTTAAAAAAGCCGTTAATTCATGCATTTTATGCCTTCAGGTAATTCTTCAACTGTTTAGACTTCAGAGCTGCTAATGACACTAAATTCAATGCCGCGTTGGTTGAGTCTGTCAATCAACTTTGTTCTGGAGAAGGCTGCTCCAGGGGTGAAGACCCCGCCCCTGTAAGACGAGAACAAGGTCAAACCGTGCACAAAGCAAGCTCCAGCCCTCTCCTCTGGGAGTGTGATTCGCTGGAGGACTAGCCATCAAGCCATGCAGAGAACTCATGAAAACTTTCATTCCATCATGGACTACTTTGGGTTCCTTTCTTAAAATAAGCTAAATGAGCAAAGGAGCTATAAGCCAGGAAGAAACTAGCACCCAGCAAACCCATCTAGAAGGGCTCAGCTCCCAGGGAGATTGTCTCCGTGGACTGCTGAGTGTTCGACTGAGGGTCATCAACCTAAGGGGCTGCTGCTGTTGGTAGAGACAGTCCTCAGACTCAGGAGAACAAAAAAGGACCTGAGTGAAATAAATTTAGGCAAAAAATTATATGAAAGCATAAATAAGACAAAGTGGATGAAAAAGAAGTTTCTTTAAATCTACTGACTAACATTTATAAAATGCTAAGTATTTTCAAAGGGTATACAGTTGACTCGAACAATATGGGTTTGAACTGCATGGGTCCACTTATATGTGATTTTTTTACAGTACTATAAATGTATTTTCTCTTATGATTTAACATTTTCTTTTCTTTAGCTTACTTTATTATAAGAATACAGTATATAATATATATGTCAACAGTAAGCTATTATTTAAATGTGGGGGGAGTTAAACATTACACATGGGTTTTCGACTACGCAGGGGGTCAACTGTAGAATTATTTGGAAAAATTTAATTAGGTTTCACTTTATACCATTTTTATGTTTGTTACTTAATATTGTTTCAGGTCATGTCTATATTTATTTGTTTCTAAGCCTGCAGGCCTAGGACTCATCTGTAAAGTTGGCCTATTTTTACAGTAACAGCTAAATGCTCCAGTAACTGAGTCCACTTGATAATCCTCTAGCTGAGATGCCATGCATCAGTTCACACTTGGTATCACAGCTTCCCACTGCTGGCTGGGTGTCATCATTACTGACTAGAGGCTCCTGATAATACTATTTAACAACAGGGACCTTTTCTGAGTAGCTGACTCCGGCCCTGCACTACTTTTACAAGGAACGAAAGTCAGCCTACATAACGCTCAAACTTCTCTGTCTCTTATTTATCTGTGCATTGTTCTCAGAGGCCAGTAAGAAACTGCCCTCCTCACAATTTTAATTTACCTTTATCTTTGGATCAGAGGTACTGTAATTGCTTATGTGCAGACCCAATGTCTGAAAACTGAATCAAAATAAGCTAAAATATAGATGAAAACGACATCTTCGAATTAGAAGAAAACCAGACTCACGTCTTCGGAAGATCAGAGATATCATTTAGAAGAGTCATGGCTGCCTGGACCATGGCTATGGAGGTGGCCACATAGCCAGCCTCTGTAGAAGATAGGTGATCAAAGAAAACTATTAATGAAGTGTGCATTTGACAACACCCAAAAACCAAATGGTCGGTTTGATATCTAACTCTAGGTATATAGAATTTTCTCAATAAATACTCTGTTCACTTAAAACTAATAATATTCATATAGTACTTACTAAGTTAGGATCTGTTAGTGTTTTAATTTTATTAACCTCATTTAATTCTCCCAGCAATGACATGAAGTTAGTCCTATTTTTTAATCCCCATTTTACAGGGGAGGACACTGAGGCACAGACTCGAAGTCAGGCAGTGGCTGAGCTGGGAGCACACGGAGCTGCCGCGGGTCCATGGCTTGTGCCCTCTGCACTGCCCCTGGGCAACAACTGAAGCCAATGATCCTCATTTCTTGTTTCTCTATTCACACACCAGTCTCCACTTAAAAAAAAAATTCAATTTCTTTAAGAAAAACAACTGAGTAACTTTAAAAGTCTAATTTTAAGAAGTAGCTTTAAAAGAAGTCTATATGCAAGTGGAACTTCAGTGTTTACAATTCTGTCAAATAATAAAAATATGGTGAATTTATCTTAAAAAGCCTGGTGGGAATCTGAAAAGAAGGCAAGATACAAAGATATCTTTGCCATCTGGCTTGACTGAAACTGCAAAACAAGATCCCCTCTGATCTATCAGAGGTGATGGTAATTAAACTGGTAATTATACTAGAATTCACAAGTAGGACTGTCTCTGTAGAGTTCTGTAAAATTTATACCAAAAGTTCTTGAACTTTTTTGGGTGACAGATCCTTTCAACCACCTATCAAAACTCCTTTACCCTCTCCAGAAAAATGCACATAGGCACACACATTTTACAAACAATGTCAGCATGTTCACTTGGCCCACAGCTTTGTTATAACTTCACTGCTTTAAAGTGACCCTTGAGTATGAGAATGTCAACCAGCCCCTTTTCTTATTAATATTAAAATATGCTACTCAGAATTACTAAATCATCCTAAAAAACAAAACCAGGGCGATGGATGTAATAATAAAATTAGATTATAACAATTTCAATCCTTCCTTTAACAGAATATATTATTAAATAATTTGTGCAAGTTTATTTCTAAAACAATGAAGCTTTAGAAAAAAACCTCGCAATACTGCTTTATACCTTAAGACAATGAAAAACTCCCCAGCAATCTTAAGTCATATGTGAAATACCTGGTCCTTTCACCTGAGTACAAATTCTCATGTTCGGTTTGTTCTTCTCAGGACTAAAGCCTTGGCTGTATCCTTGACCAAAGAATGTCAAAGTAAATGATGAGGCATCAATCTGAGAAGAAAGCAAAGGCCTTATTTAATAAATATGTCATTTCCTCCCTGAACATGGTAAAACCTACTACTCTACTTAATATGAGACATTTTCAAATAGATGAAAACACCACTATTCTGCCAGAACACCCTATCATCCTTTAAGCATGGGGCAAAAATCAATTCTTGGAAGATGCAAGTTTTGATGCCTGGTTGGTGCTGGGGGAGGGAGGTGGTGACGAAGAGGGGTGCAAGACAGACGGTCCTTAGCCGTGAAAACAGCAGTTCCAGAGGAAAAGCTAGGATGGTGGTGGTGGTAGATTGTGGTAATCAGGTATCTGAGGATACAAGACCAAACTAGCCAACAAGAAATGGAAACACAGGCCAGACAGAATTGCTCCATTGGAGATATAAAAACCTGATTCAAAACATTCAATTCTAGAAGACTTATCCGAGCATCTTTCACAATCACTAAATTCAGAAATAAGATAATGAAGAATTCAGTTGTGGTAAAAAAAATTGTTAATGAGACCACTAAAATACGGTTCCTGTTTTTCTGGAGCTGACAGCTTAGTGGGGGATACAAATATGTATGTGTGTAAATATACACATGTAGATCTAATAACAATGTGAGACATGAATTAAAAGATGCCAGACTAGTTCAAAGGAGGGTATTATTAAATCTGTTCGGTAGGATGGGGCAGGGTTTTGAAATGTGTACACACACACACACACACACTCTAAGTGTACTACACAGAAAAGTGGGGTGGGCACCAGAAAGGAGACACCATCATGGAAAGGCAAGAAGGGATGCAATATCACAGTGGACCAGGGAACAGGGTGGTACTTGCGTATTAAAGGTGCAGACAAGGTCAGACGCACTTGTCCCCACCCTGCCTGCCTGGGGCACATGGGCTAGCTGAGCATAACCCTCTCAGGCTGGGCACATATTCAGCTTTAGAACAAATGTCTTTTTTTTTTTTTTTAAGATTTTATTTATTTGAGCGAGAGAGTGAGTGAGAGAGAGAGAGAACGTGCACAAGCTGTGGCAGAGGGAGAGAGAGAGAAGCAGGTTTCCCACCAAGCAGGGAGCCCGATGCGGGACTCAATCCCAGGACCCTGGAATCATGACCTGAGCTGCAGGCAGACGCTTCACCGACTGACCCACCCAGGCGCCCCTAGAAAAATTTTCAACATGATCTCCAGGCTGCTACTACCAACTAATCAGAGTTGGCATGAAAACTGAAACCTATCTGCCACCCAGGACTAGATCATGAAGGACCTCGCTCCTCTGGAGATAGACTTCCAGCCAGTGGGACTCTCGGGGTGTGAATCAAAATCACCCAAACCAGACTTGGAGCTTGCCCACCTCCACAACAGGGATCACAGCGTTGGCAACACATTAACACAACTGGTTTGTAAAGAAAGCCCAATATTCAGGCCACATTCCAGACCAATCACACTTGAATCTCTGGTCATCAGTTTTAGGCTCTTGTCAAAGTTGAGAACCACAGCTCTGTACTTCCAGGCCCTACTCCACACCTACTGCATCAGAATGTCCAGACTCAGGGTCGGGACGTGTATATGGAAAAGCTTCCTGGGGCATTCTGATACACAAACTCCCAGGTAAGAATCACTGCCCATGCAGTACGTCAGGGAACCAGGTTATGAAGATGACGACCAGGTCAGATCTGTCTTCCATCTTGGACAGCGGTGGGAAGAAATATTTGCAAATTACATACCTGATAAGGGATTAATATCCATTTACAGAGAACCCCTAAAACTCAACAAGAAAAACACAAACCACCAATTCAAAAATGGGCAAAGGACTTGAATAGACATTCTCCAAATAAGACCTACAAATGGTCAATAAGCACATGAAAAGATGCTCCACACCACGAATCACTGAGAAGTACAGATCAAAACACAAGGAGATATCACTTCACACCTGTGAGAAGAACTACTATAAAAAATAACAGGGTGCAGCTGGCTGGCTCCATTGGTGGAGCATGTGACTCTTGATCTCAGGGTCATGGATTTGAGCCCCACCCTGGGTATAGAGATTACTAAAAAATAAACCTTAAAAAAGGCCTGGGAAACAAGTGTTGGCAAGGACATGGAGCAATGAGCACACTCGTGCACTGCTGGTGGGAAAATAACATGGTGGGGAGCCGTGGAAGAGTCTGGTGGCTCCTCAAAAAATTACAAATAGAATTCCCATAGGATCCAGCAATTGCACTTCAGGATATTTATCCCAAAGAATTCAAAGGAGGATCCTGAAGATGTATTTGCACCCATGTTCACAGCAGCACTATTCAAAATAGCTGAAAGGTGGAAGTAACCCAAGGATGGATGGATGGATGGATGGAGATGGGGGATGTATGAATGAGGGGGTTGTGTGCGTGTGTGTGTGTCTGCGGGTGTCTGTGCATGTGTGGTGTGTGTGTATAAGTGTGTGAAAAGGAACTACTATTCAGCCTTAAAAAGGCATGAAGTCTGACACCTGCTACAACACGGAGGAACCTTGAAGACAAAGTGCTCAGTGACATAAGCCAGTCACAGAAGGACAAATACTGCCTGACCACTTGTATGAGGCACCCAGAGTGGACACATTCATAGAGACAGAGAGAACGATGGTGGCCAGGGGCAGGGGGAAGAGGGGAAAGGCGAGTTATTGTTTAATGGGGACAGAGTTTCAGTTTTGTGAAAGGAAAAAGACCTGGAGGTGGATGGTGGGGATAGTTGCACAAATGTGCTGCAGACCAACGTGAATTTGTATAAAACGAATGTTTTGAGTAACAATATGGTATTGATACCACCGAACACTTAAAAATGGTTAAGATGGTACATTTTATGTTATGTGCACAATTTCGGGAAGAGAGGGAAAAGAAAAGGAGAGCGGGGCAAGAGCCTTGGCTAAGGTGGGTATGATGGGTTTGGAGAAAAATCTAGAATGATGCCTACGTTCATGACTGGGCAGATGACAATGCCACCAACTGAGATGGAAAACAAAGGAAGAGGAGTGTTTGAGGGAAAGAAGTTCAGATCATGACGTGTGCAATTTCAAGTACCCAAGGGACATCCAGGTCAAGATGTCCAGGAAAACAGGACAGGTAATCAGCAGATCTAAGCAGGTCTGCTGAGAACACTGCCGAGATCGCTTGGGGACAGTGGGAGGGAAGCGGACCCTCAGAAGTGCAGGGACGGCAGAGGAAGAGAGTGGACACTTGGAAGAGCGTTGGTCTCAGAAGCCAAGGGAGCGAGTATTTCAAGAAGGACAATAATGTCAGAGGGCGCCTGGGTGGCTCAGTTGGTTAAGCGACTGCCTTCGGCTCACGTCATGATCCTGGAGTCCCAGGATCGAGTCCCACATCGGGCTCCCTGCTCAGCAGGGAGTCTGCTCCTCCCTCTGACCCTCCTCCCTCTCGTGCTCTCATTCTCTCTCTTGCAAATAAAAAAAAAAAAATTAAAAAAAAAAAGGACAGTAATGTCAGAGATAACAGACTGAATAGGGACTCACAGCATTCAAAGCACTTAGCAGTATTAAGACCAACGTCAACTCTAGTGAGGGGAAGACAGGGTGAAGGAGGGTCGAGGACTCCTCTCTGGGTTGGCATGTGCACAGGATGAGGAAAGGCAGGAGGAGAATGGCAGGAGAGACCACAAGGAAGTCCGCAGTAAAGGTTAAGGCTCAGGCCGGTGTGGTTCTTGGGTCCACCGCATTCTAGCCACATGAACTTGGGCAGGTAACACCTGCTCTGATGACCTCCTCAGCTGGAAAAAGTGGCTAATACCTTTACCTACATGATCACGGGAGGACTAAATGTGACGTAAAGCACTTAGCTCTGCGCCTGCCACACAAGAAGTGCTTGATTTTTAAAGAGCACAGGTGGCGGGATTTGTCTTGTACAGAATCCTTCCCTGAGAAGCGGAGAAGGTGGAGATGAGAGCAGTTGGACAGCAGGACTCCGCGGGGTGCACAACCCACGTTCTCAACTCCCATCAGTGAAGCAGGAGTTGAAACTGCAGGGGGGTGGGTTTAGATCGTGAGGAAAGCCCGTGAGAGGAGATGGACAGATGGGTACATTAAAAGCAATAGGATCAGCAAATGCTGCTCAAGTTCCAGCGAGAGGGGAAGCTCATGGTTGGTGGGGGGGCCTCATGCAAGCGGGCGGAGCTCCTGACCCGGGCCTGGGCCTGACTCGGGGTCTGTGAACCACCACATGGCAGGAAGGAGGCGCCAGCATGTGTGGAAGGGGAGGGGAAGCGCTGGGAAGGAGGGGGTACAGAGGAGAAAAATGAAGACTAAATGTTTCTGAGATCTCTATGAAGTAAGGAGAATAAAACTTCAGAGCCAGATGACTGGGCCCTCTCCCCAGCTATTTACTCGCTGTAGGACCCTGGGCAAGTTACTTAGCCTCTGTGCCTCAGGCTCCTCACTGGTCAAGTGGAGAGAATACCAAGTTAAGGGTGTTGGGAAAAGACAGAGTCACCTAATTTACATAAAGAACATAAAAGCCCATCTGAAACATAGTAAGTGCTCCATCAAGTTTTACCTGTTCTAGTAAATGCACTGAGGAAAAGTAAAAACAAAATAAAGAAAATTATTTAAGAGCTGTATACTAAAGAAAGGGTTACCTGTTTCTGTGTTGGACCTTGTTTTGAAAAATAACCAAAGGAGAAGAGCCATGGGAACTAAAGGAAAAAATAAAAAAAACCTCAGTGATATTTTTAAAAACTCATGGAAAATACTTCTAAAGACCTAATTTCATAAAAATACCACTTACTTTTATGAGAAGCTGCCTTCCAATGCCAAACTTCACAAAGAATAAAAAGAAAAGTCCCGCAAACATCAGCTTAATAACAGAGGTGATGCCTCCCACCGTCATATAAGCGGCGTACTGGACCTAGATGAGGACGTAAAGTCAGAATGTTACTCCCTACTTCTGTAGACTACGTAATACAAGAATGTTAGCTATTTAGAACTTCCTCTGTGGTCATAAACAGTGCGCAAAAGCAGTTTCCACTTTATGAACGTGTTATGTTCTAAAAGTTTGTTCAGAAACCAGGCATTGGGAGCCTGTTTTTTTAAAGAAATTGTTGCAAATGGTAATTAGCTTCCTTGAGCTGAACACAAAAGTCCCCATGATCCATACATAAAAAGCCCACAAGAATGTACCTAAATTTAGTAACTACACATTGTAAGATACAGATTATACTTACAACCTCTTCTATGAGAAAATGATCTTTTAAATTGAGATACAGTTTCCTCTTTTTCCCCCCTGTGGCATGCTTTAGCTCTGGTCCTGCTTTCTTTCTTTTTCTTTCTTTCATTTTTTAAATTTAAATTCAATATATTAACATATAATGTATTATTAGTTTCAGAAGTAGAGGTCAGTGATTCATCATCTTATATAATACCCAGGGCTCATATAACACATACCCTCGTTAATGTCCATCACCCAGTTACCGTATCCCCCCACCCCTCCAGCAACCCTCAGTTTGTTTCCTATGATTAAGAGTCTCTTGTGGTTTATCTCCCTCTCTGATTTTGCCTTGTTTTAATTTTTCCTCTCTTCCCCTATGATCCTCTGTTTTGTTTCCACAAATGAATGAGATCATATGATAGCTGTCTTTCTCTGAATGATTTATTTCACTCAGCATAATACCCTCTAGTTTCATCCACATTGTTGCAAATGGCAAGATTTCATTCTTTTTAATGGCTGTGTAATACTCCACTGTATATATTTACCACATCTTCTTTAACCATTCATCTGTTGATGGACATCTAGGCTCTTTCCATAGTTTGGCTATTGTGGACATTGCTGCTGTAAACAGTGGGGTGCAGGTGCCCCTTCGGATCATTATATTTGTATCTTTGCGGTAAATACCTAGTAGTGCAATTGCTGGGTCGTAGGGTAGCTCTATTTTCAACTTTTTGAGGAATACAGTTTCCTCTTCAAGTCTCAGAAGTGGGAGCAGTTATTTCCCACACCAAAAGGAATAAGATGTTACTCCAGAGATCGGAGGTCGCAAGGAGAGGCAAACCCAGACATCTCACAAGCAACAGAGTACCCTAGCAGCTAAAGCGTGCAGTAGGGGTTGCTGGGTGTTTATGACACCAGCATTCCCTGGACTAAATTTGCTTCTGTTCTGTTTCATTAACAAGGTATGCAGCTGGCCAGATGTGAATTATGGGGGAGGCTATCTCTAGCCCCATAAAATGCAAAATGCTTTATGCTACTGATTCTTACCCTTCCAGAAACTGAACCCTGCATTATTTAGCCTGCTTTTTTTTTTTTTTTGCTTTGTAAACATAAAAACCCTACATTAAACAGGTATGGGAACGATAATGAACAGTATACTCTTCATTAAAAATTAAATAGCATGCACTTACAGGTGATTGCTCTAAATTCTCGAGCAAGTAACGCTGAGTCCGCCTCACAACAGACACATCTGATCCCAAGAAAGGAATAGAATAGCTGTTCAGTTCTCTGCAGTAAGAAATCGGCCACCTGCAAGACAGACCCACAGACCCAAGAATATGCTGCATTTTCTCCACTTAGTTAACTCGGCAAAGTTCTGAATAAAAAATGTAATTTTCTTGAGGCAGTAATGACAACAAAGATGGCAGATCTGCTCTCAGTTAAAATTCATCTATCTGTCCTGTGTTCTCCACACCTACCTAAACAAGTGACGACTGGGAGAGCAGTATTCTTCACGCCAAGGGCACTTAACACATATGTTCTACCCCCTCCATCTCCCTAGACAGTACACTCATTTCAACAGCCAAGCCCTAGTATGAGTTTAGAGTTCTCACATAAAAAAAGTTTTCACATAAAAGTGCTATTAATAGGGGCGCCTGGGTGGCTCAATCGTCTGCCTTCAGCTCACGTCATGATCCCAGAGTCCTGGGATCGAGCCCCGCATCAGGATCCCTGCTCAGCAGCAAGTCGGCTTCTCTCTACTTCTGTACCTCCCACTCCCCTGCTTGTGTTCCCTCTCTTGCTGTGTCCCTCTCTGTCAAATAAATAAATAAAATCTTAAAAAAAAAAGTACTAATTATAGATAATCTACATAAGATCACCACACTTATTAAAATGGTCGTTTTACTGCACAAAACTTAACTGATGTTTGATTTTGATAATGATAGTAAAAAGGCAAAAAATTCATTTTCTCCCAGAGTCCAAATATGTTATTATATATGAAGTACTTAAGCTTAAGATAATATATTAATTATATTTTATTTAGCTAGGAAGACAACCCTGAATTCACTACAAAACAGTCTCAGGCTTTTCTAAGTCGCATACTTTATAAACCACATCACCAGCAATATACTTAGACTTGATATACTAAAGAATAGATTTTGAGGCACCTGGGTGGCTCAGTTGGTTGGGCATCTACCTTCAGCTCAGGTCATCATCTCGGGTCCTGGGATTGAGTCCCGCATCAGGCTCTCTGCTCAGCAGGGAGTCTGCTTCTCCCTCTCTCTCGGCCCCTCCCCCTGCTTGTGCTCTCTCACTCTCTCTCTCAAATAAATAAATAAAATCTTAAAAAAAAAGAATAGATTTTAAGTTACTATACCTTCTTTTCAATTTTGAACCAACAATTGGGACAGGTTTCAGATTTGACTCATTTCTCAGTTTTTTCAAATTACTTTGATCTCCAAAACCATAAACTGCAGACTTCCAGGTACCATCGTGAATGCACAACCCCTAATAAAAATTCAAAAGGTAAAGAAACATGACTTAAGGGATAATTACTAAAATGTAAAACCAAGAAATTTATAATTGTTTACAAAGAACATTTCGCCTCTATTTGAGCTAGCCATAATCCCTTACTTAATAATCTTGAGATGAATTTTCAGGCAGGACTAACACTCATTAGCTTGATCATATGCGATATTTATACCCACGTATGCTCTTTCTTCTTCCTTCCTACCATCATTTATGCTCCTTTTAAATGCCACTGAGTTTTACCTCTGCATTTTCACTCAACTAACTGACCATATTCCTTCAAATTAACCCTTCTAATTCCTATCCCTATGCTGATTCCTCAAAATCTCAAGATGTGTTCCTGGGCACGTTTACGCAACAGACACAACGTACATACCTATCCCAGCCCCAGCGTACCTGTTACCCCACCACCCCCAACGCCCCTTACTCTAGCCCCAAGTTATATAAATGCCTTCCACATAAGTCTTGTTAAAATATTTTTTTAATTTTAAGGCTCATTAATATGATTTATATTTCAATTTCTTTCCCCACTTCTTCAATTTCTTTCTGGAACTGTAGCCAGCATAGAATCCTTGCTTGATCTTGACCAGACTCATCCGTTCTCTTATTTCTCATCCTTCAGTGCTTTCCATTCTTCCAACATAATTACACCCTCCATGACCCTCACCTCCAATGCCCATTAGACGTGAGCAGCAGAAAGGAGAACACAGGCAAGGATATAACCTCGGAACTCAATGTCTTAGTGCTGACTCTTCTTTACCTAACTTCTAGATGGGCCTTTTAATTCTCTGTTATGTAAATATTTTAAACTTCATTTATAATTCTGATTGTATTTAGCTGTTTTAAGTCCTGCCTTACATGTAGTTTACCTTGTTTGAATGAACAAAGTTATTTAGAAATATTCAAAACCAACTTTGTCACAAGATTTTGAAAGAGGAATATCAGTAAAGCTGATGTGAAGATACTGTTGCTTGTTAATAAGCACAGTAAGAGAAACAAGAAAACCATCAGAAGATTCAGGTGTTTATATCAGAGCTTTGATGACACTGGAAGGCAGAGAGACACCAAACTTAATTTCCATTTTGATATATATTAGTATCTTCTATAGTGTTAAAACAAACAGAGCTACAAGTCTGAGGGTTAAAACAAACAGAGCTACAAGTCTGAGTAGTTTCACATACTCTAAATCTGGGCCCAGTCAATGTGACCTATTTGCAAATATAAAGATTCCCAGGGGCACCTCGCTGGCTCTGTCGGCAGAGCACGTGACTCTTAATCTTGGGTATAGAAATTCCTTGAAAATAAAAGCTTTAAATAAAAATAAAAAAATAAAAGATTTCCAAATACCAGGAGAAAACAGCTTTTTGAAAACCTAAGAATATCTTCTTATACAAATAAGCCATCAAAAAGGCACAAATCACATTCCATTTTTAAAAACTGTTTATCTTATTGAAAAACATAAAGTACACACAACATAAATATATAATTTAATGAAATTATGAAACAAATCCCTGTAGCACAGAAGGCCCTCCTTCTGTCCTGCTTCATGGTAATAAAGACAAATACTTGCTTTCCTTAGAGTTTTACCACCTAAGTATTCATTCCTAAATTCACTTATTGTGAATTTTGCCTGTTTCTAAACTTTACAGAAATGGAAGCACACAGCCTTTGAGTTCGCCCTTTTATGCTCAAAACTGTGATGTTAAGATTCATCATGTGTTAGAAATAACTCCTACTTTGGAAATCAAAAATTACCTGGAAAAATATGAAAATGAAAACATGACAGTCCAAAACCTTTGGGACACAGCAAAAGCAGTTCTAAGAGGGAAGTTCATAGCAATACAGGCCCACCTCAAGAAGCAAGAAAAATCTCAAATACACAACCTAACCTTACTCCTAAAGGAGCTAGAAAAAGAACAAACAAAATCCAAAACCAGCAGAAGGAAGGAAATAATAAAAATTAGAGCAGAAACAAATGATACAGAAACTAAAAAGCAATAGAAGCGATTGATGAAACCAGGAACTGGTTCTTTGAAAAGATCAACAAAATTGATAAATCTCTAGCCAGAACCATAAAAAGAAAGGACTCAAACAAAATCACAAAAGAAAGAAGATAAATAATAACCAACACCACAAAAATACAAACAATTGTAAGAGAATATTATGAAAAACTTGGGATGCCTGGGTGGCTCAATTGGTTAAGCGTCTGCCCTCAGCTCAGGTCATGATCCCAGGGTCCTGGGATGAAGTCCCGCATCGGAATCCTTGCTCAGTGGGGAGCCTGCTTCTCCCTCTGCCTGCAGCTCCCCCCTGCTTGTGCTCTCTCTCTCTCTCTGACAAATTTTTTAAAAAAGATTATTATGAAAAACTATATGCCAACAAACTGGACAACCTAGATGAAATGGATAAATTCCTAGAAACATATAACCTACCAAAACTGAAACAGGAAGAAACAGAAAATTTGAACAGACTCATTACCAGCAATTAAATTGATCAGTAATCAAAACACTCCCAACAAACAAAAGTCCAGGACCAGACGGCTTCACAGGTGAATTCCACCAAACACCCATTCTTCTCAAACTATTGCAAAAAAATGGAAAAGAAAGGAAAACTTACAAATTCATTCTGAGGCCAGCATTACCCCGATACCAAAGCCAGATAAAGACTACACACACAAAAAAGAACTACAGGCCAGGGGCGCCTGGGTGGCTCAGTCGTTAAGCGTCTGCCTTCGGCTCAGGTCATGATCCCGGGGTCCTGGGATCAAGTCCCGCATCGGAATCCTTGCTCCACAGGAAGCCTGCTTCTCCCTCTCCCACTCCCCTATTTGTGTTCCCTCTCTGGCTGTCTTTCTCTCTGTCAAATAAATAAAACCTTAAAAAAAAAAAAGAACTACAGGCCAGTAGCTCCGATGAACATAGATGCAAAATCCTCAACAAAATACTAGCAAACCAAATCCAACAACACATTAGAAAGTCATTCCCCACAATCAAGTGGGATTTATTCCTGGGATGCAAGGGTGGTTCAATATTCACAAATCAATCATGATATATCACATCAATAAGAGAAAGGATAAAACCATATGATCATTTCAACAGATGCAGAAAACACACTTGATAAGGTACAACATCCATTCATGATAAAAACCCTCAATAAAGTAGGCTTAGAAGGAACATACCTCAAAATAATAAAGACCATCTATGAAAAACCCACAGCTAACATCATCCATAACAAGGAAAAACTGAGAGCTCTTCCCCTAAGATCAGGAACAAGACAAAGATGTCCACTCTCATCAGTTTTATTCAACTTAGTACTGGAAGTCCTGTCCTAGCCACAGCAATCAGACAACAAAAAGAAATAAAAGGCATCCCAACTGGTAAGGAAGAAGTAAAACATCTACTATTTGCAGAGGACATGATACACTACGTAGAAAACCTGAAAGACTCCACCAAAACACTGCTGGAACTGATAAAAGAATTCAGTTAAGGGGTGCCTGGCTGGCTCAGTCAGTTAAGCAGCAGCTCTTGATTTCGGCTCAGGTCATGATCTCAGGATCCTGGGATCGAGCCCCGTGTGAGGCTCTGTGCTCAGTGCAGAGTATGCTTGAGGATTCCCTCTCTCCCTCTGCCCCTCCCCCTGCCCTCTCCCTCTCTCTCTCAAATTAAAACAAAACAAAAACAAAAAAAATGTATTCAGTTAAAGTCTCAGGACCCAAAATCAGTTATGCAGAAAGAGAAATCAAGGAATTGATCCTATTTATAATTGTACCAAAAATAATAAAATACCTAGGAATAAACTTAACCAAAGAGGTTAAACACCTGTACTCTGAAAACTATAAAACACCAAGGAAAGAGACTGAAGATGACACAAAGAAATGGAAAGACATTCTATGCTCATGGGTTTGAAGAACAAATATTGTTAAAATCTCTATACTACCCAAAGCAATCTACAGATTTAATGCAATTCCTATCGAAATAGCAACAGCATTTTTCAGAGAACTGGAACAAACAATCCTAAAATTTGTATGGAATCTCTGGGGCGCCTGGGTGGCTCAGTCGGTTAAGCATCCAACTCTTGGTTTCAGCTCAGTCATGAGCTCAGGATCCTGGGATTGAGCCCAGTGTTCGGCTCCACGCTGAGCATGGAGTCTGCTTGAGATTCTCTCTCTCCCTCCCCCTCTGTCCCTCTCTGCTCGCACTCACTCTCTCTCAAAACTTAAAATTACAATTAAAATTAAAAAATAAAATTTGTACGAAATCTCGAAAGACACTGAATAGCCAAAGCAATCTTGAAAAAGAAAAACAAAACTGGAGATATCACAATTCCAGACTTCAAGTTATATAACAAAGCTATAGTAATCAAAACAGTATGGTACTGGCACAAAAATAGACACAGATCAGGGGAACAGAATAGAAAACCCAGAAATAAACCCACAGTTATACGGTCAATTAATCTTTGACAAAGCAGGAAAGTATCCAGTGGAAAAACAGTCTCTTCAACAATGGTATTGGGAAAACTGCACAGCTACATGCAAAAGAATGAAACTGGACCACTTTCTTACACCATACACAAAAATAAACTCAAAATGGATGAAAGACCAAAATGTGACACCTGAAACCATAAAACTCCTAGAAGAGAGCACAGGGAATAATGTCTCTGACATCGGCCGTAGCAACATTTTTCTAGATATGTCTCCCAAGGAAAGGGAAATAAAAGCAAAAATAAACTATTGGGACTGCATCAAAATAAAAGGCTTCTGCACAGTAAAGGAAACAATCAACAAAACCAAAAGACAACCTACTGAATGGGAGAAGATATTTGCCAATGACATATGCATTAGGGGGTTAGTATCCAAAATACACAAAAAAATTGACACAACTCAGCACAAATAATGCAATTAAAAAATGGGCAGAAGACATGAACAGACATTTCTCCAAAGAAGACACACAGATGGCCAATAGACAAACTCATAAAAAGAT